GAAGTGCGGAATTTTGGAGTGTTGTATATTATTTTTTAATACTTTAGTGATCAATTTATATTTTTAGTACCTGTTACTTGAACTCTTGAAGAAGTGGATGATTATAATTTGTTTTTGGGTGTGGGATTTTTTTTTTTTTTTTTTTCTAGTGAAACTAGTTCCTATCGGTTGTATTTGATTTTTTGGGTAAGTTTGAATAATCGGTTAACCGGTTTCTGAACCGATAATTCAGTTCGGTTATAAATTGGTTTATGGGATAATTCGGTCCAGTTTCGATTTGGTATATTGCTTGAACGGAAAAATCGGTTCGGTTCAAAAAACACCCCATCCGGTTCGGTTAACCGGATTTCCACACCCCTACCTCCAGCAGCTCACCATTTCCCACCTTCACTTTAGATTGATAACTCTTATCCAAGTTCACAAAATGACCAAGGTTTGGAGTCATATGGTTGTTGCAACCACTGTCAATCAACCACACATCAGGGCTGCTGGCAATCATGCAACTTGAAACTATAAAAAAACTGCTCTGTTTCTTGAGTCTGTTGTGTGTTTTCCACTGCTTGTGCTTGCTAGTCCTGTTGGTTCCCCTTGTTCTTACATACTCTCTCAATGTGCCAAAACTACTTGCAAGACCTGCATTGTATACTAGGTCTAAACCAACACCTGTTTTCAGAGTGATTTTTCTTCTTGCAATGTGAACATGGAGGGAAGGTTCTCATTCCAACATGTTTCCCTCCTTGGTTGTTGGTTTTCTCCTTTCCCTTCTTCTCTCCAGTATACCTTTTATTTCCTCCTTGGAAAACTCTTCCTTTTTGGCTTGCTATCATGACTCCTTCACTTGAGTCTTCCTGCCTCAGCAACATCTTTTGCTATTGTGCTTGAAGAGAATGCACAAGTTCTGCTAAGCTAATATGGGACAGGTCTTTAGAGTCTTCAAGTGAAGAGATCTTTGCCTCAAATCTCTCAGGTAAACTAACCAAAACCTTCTCTACTATCTTCTTGTCAGTCAACTCTTCACCAAGTAATTTAATCTTATTCACCACATTTATTAATCTATCCACATACTCAACATTTTCAGTTTCTTGTATTTTGAGCATTTCAAGCTCTCTTCTCAAGTTTAGGGCTTGCATGTTTCTGGTTTGGCTACTTCCTCCAAACTCCTTATTGAGCTTATCCCAAGCTTCTTTAGAAGTCTCACATGCCATAATCCTAGAGAAAACTTGATCGGTTACTGCTGAAAAGATGCAAGATAGTGCTCTTGGAGCCTTGGCTAACTCTTCTTCATGAATCCTTATCTGATTTAGTGTTGGGTTTGCTCCAAGCTGTGGGACTTATTTCTCTTCCTCCACATATTGCCATAAGGCATGGCCTCTCAAATAAGTCTTCATTTTGACAGCCTAAACATGCTCATCATTGAAGATGGGTGGAGAAAGAGGAGTTGGGTTTGTTGCCAAGAAGAATCTTAATGGAGTTGTGATGAGTTATGGTGTCGTGTTTTTGGCCCTAAGAATCACAATAGCTTTGATACCAAATGATGGTTTTTTAACTGGAGAATACAAAGGAAAGATAGTTGAGAGAAGGTTATTACTAATTGCATTCAAAAGGCTTCTATTGTATTACAACAAGTAGCCATTTTAAAAGCCAAAATGCCACCGTTACAACCATCTTAGCAGGATATTTTTACAAAAATTCAAACTTAACCATACACAATTACCTAATACAAGTACATTACACTTAAACCAAGCCATAACAGTCGGCTGTATACACCTAAAAACATCACCTTACAATTCAAAATTCTAACAGCTCCAACATTCAAATTCAGCCTAGCACACTTCAAATTTGGCTCCAAAATCCTGTAGACAACAACCTATCTTCATGTTTTCAGTAAAACATCACTGCCATCAACAGCTTGTAGCATTAGAATATTTGAACCTATCTGACAATCCAGAAATTCGATCCATTTCTTTCAATTACAAGTGGACTAAAAGATGGTACTTTAACAAGTAAAATGTTGAGTCCTCTTATTCCATTGATTTGAAGAGTAATAGATTAGATGGGTAACCTGTTGGTAGAACATATCAAGAGCACTCTGGCCATTACTCAACATGGTTGCAGAAATAAAAACAGCTTTTACAATTTTAGTTGGGAACAACTCCATCACAAATGAAATACAAGCACCTCCAAAATCATGTCCCACCAAAATCACCTGCATTTCAGTCATTAATTAGTATTATAGATTATGTCTGTTGCTATTGAACATAAGTTTAAGTTTTTATCTTTACAACATAGAAAGATGGGATTGAACCTTTTCTTTTTTTCCTAACTTGTTGAAGAACTCAATAAGAGGTTTGACATATTGTTCTAGACTTGTAATGGTGTTTATATCACATGAGTTTGCTCCAGAACCTACTAAGTCAATCACATCCACTTTAAATCCAGTTTCTTCTAAAAGTGTCATCGTCTTGTACCAGCACCAGGCACCAAAACCACCTCCATGAACAAGGATGAAATGGTTGGTTTCCAATGACTCCATCTTCAGTTCCTAAGGAAAATAAGTAATTGGTAAGTCTTAAAGAGGCAGATATATATCACTGGAACTGTGGAAGGGGACTCTTTCTTTGACTTATCCTTCCCCTTACCTTTTTTGGAAAATACAAAGGCATGCCAATTGTGATTCAAGTTTTCTGGTATATTAATTGTCTTACAACAAGAAAAATTAATTTCCTAGTGAAATCAAACCTGGCTAACAAGCTGTTGAGGTGTTAGAAAAGGATCTTTAATGGATAGTTGACTAGAACTGGAACTCCTTTTAAAACATTGCTTCTTTGAACTCGAATGTGCATATATATTGGAATGTGATTTGCTTATTGAGATAGAACGACCATTTATCTGGTGACTGCAAAACAAAAGAGCCGCGGCAAGAGCTTGTTCAACTATCGAACAATCTTGATCGACAACTTCAGGCTTCCCTCTTCTCTTGTTGTTGTTGTTCTTCTTCTTTATTAAAGAAGGAACAAAAGATGGCAATGTAGGTTTTGTATTGAAAGAAGTTAAGAAATGCAAAAGACAAAATGCATACTTCTTGGAGGCTTTCTTAGGAACCCCATCATCTTCTTCTTCACGAGTTACACAGCCTATTGCATTTCCCATTTGATATGCATGAGAAAGTTCACACAAGTTGAAGTATTATAAAGAGATTCAATCAAATAACATTAATGTATATATGTTGTATGCAGGTGGTTGTAGTATAAAAGAGACAAACGTATAGGTGAAATTATGTTGATGAAAGTTTAATGTTGAAAGGGTTGTGTTGTTGCAAGGAGAGAAGGGCGAAGGCTATAAGACAACCCGAATATGGGACAATTAAACTGTCGAATTCTGCATGGATTATTCATGTACACTTAACCCTCCATGGCAATATTATTCCTTTTTTGGAAAAAAAAAATGACAAAATAATAATACAAGCCATCTCATTTGTAACTTAAAAAGTGTTATCATCTTATGTTTTCTTAATTTTCTAAAATTTTCTTATCCTGTCCTACTATCTAACTCAATCAATACATAGTGTAGATGTGTTTTGAGTGTAAAAATAAGCGAAATGAAATAGGAGAAAAGAGATTCGTAACATTGTGCTTCATTTTCTCTAATTTTTCACTGGAATTTAGAGAGAAAATTAATTCTTAAAAAAAAAAAAAAAGATCATTCAATTGTGTAATTAATGTGGTACAAGCTCAAGATCATTCAAAACCAAAGAAATTAAATATAATAAGATAAAGAAGAGGATGGAGATCGAAGTGGTGGTAGTCTTCAATTAAGAAAGGTTGGCAAATTGGATAAGCACAAATAAACAAGACTGAGGGATAGCAATAATGTTGAAACAGGAAAATGACACAAGAGAGATGGACGTAATTGAGAGGAATTTTTATTGACAATTACTAGATTAGTATGTAAGTTCCAAGCCTGAATGCACAAGAATATAGAATACAAAGAATGCACAAGAATATTAAACGAAACAGGATTTGGAATTCAAGACATAAAGAAAGACAAGAACTCATTAATAGGCATCACCTAAGGCTTTAAAACCCGGTTTGGGGTGAAACCTAGCAAAGTGTCGGTCAAACCGGTGACATCAGTATATCCAAAAGTTTGAAATCCGATAACAGCACCCTTGAAAATTACACTTAAGTTCCTACAAGTTTAAAATACTACAAAACACCCCAAATTAGTAAATTCCATCGCTAGTGTCGACAACCCAGGCCAAATAGGGTCTGTTTTCGACATCAACATTACACCTCATCACCACAAAAACTCTCCCCTTAGCCTCCAGACCAAAAGTCATCTCACCCCACCCCTGTTCACCTGGCCAATCGCCGACAATAGCCCACTATTACTGCCAATTGATTTTTGTGATTTTCGATCGTTTCACTCACTAGAAATCACCTCCACCATCACCTTTCAACTCATCGGCCCTTCCTCTTCAAAACCCCTAACATTCCAACCACCAATTGTTCACCGATCATTGTCCTAATCTCTAGGGTTTGCCATGAATAGTCAAAATTTGTAATCAGCTCGATGAAGGCCTCGGGTCCCAATTGAACCAATTCAACCACCCGGGCCGGACCGGGTTTTAAAACAATGATATTTGACACTTGCCTTTTAAGCATACAATTTATTTTCTGAATTACAGCTTCAGAACAAAAGATAAGGACGAAACAAAAAATATATAAAGACAAATTAAAAAAGATTTTATTATATATGAAACAGTTTTATTCTAATTTGATGTATACCAATACCGGTCAATAAATAGTGGCCGGCTAGCCAGGTTCTAGTCATTAGAATGAGCATTTAAGTATCAACTGCCAATGTCTTTAATAAAACTTTATCCGGCTAACTTCTCCACTTCTCCACCACAACATAATTTCACTGAATTTTTTTTTTGAGTCAGGAAAACTTTACTTAAAAGACATCAAAATGACAAAAATACTTGTAGTTCACAAAGCTGAAATTAAACTACTCACATCCTTATGTCTTGCTTTGAGCTAATGTTTTACAAGGTAAGATACAAGTTGGCTGCTATGAAAAAGTGTAGTAGCATCAGACAACACCATTTATAGATCAGACAGTTCCCATGATAATAATTCAAGAATTTTGATGATTTGAAATGGAAAAACAATAAAAAAAAACTTATCTCTAATAACCTTAATCTTGTATAGCCCTTCAGAATGGGTCGCACAGTGACAATGTGCAGAAATGCACAACCACGCACCCATTATATACATGCTGTATTCGACACAAACTAACTTGAAGCCACCACTTTAGTTTTTTTCCTCCAGTGATTTCACACAACAACCAGGCTTCTCTTAACATGCGACGTTAGTAAGTCCACCCAAAGGAAAAACTGAAACACAGTTGCCCTTTATGCAGCCTCTAATTCCAATGAGTTCCATCTGGAAGTGGCAGGACAAGCATAGAGAAATCCTCCAAAAAATTTCAGCTACTCTTTCAGAAGCAGTGTTCGAACGTATGGACCAGGATGCATTTAACCATCAACTGTTGTCTTCCCAATAGGATTTTCATTAGAAATATCCATTTCTCTGAATAAGTAATCCAAATATGCTAAAGAATGACAATCCTCTTGCTCTCATTTCCATGTTGAAAGATAAAAATTGAGACATCAAGCTGCAGCATTCCAATTCAGAATTCAAGGATTTCCAAGTAGTAAAACATTAATCTTCAAAAATGAAAGTTTAAGACAAAGAGAAACACTTGACACCAAAAACTGGTAATTACCATCCAAAATATAATTGATGCATGGTGCAATTAGAAGGGCATAACAGTCCAACCAAAAGTCTGTATTTCAATCTTTGGGGCCAATGACAGAAAAACCCTAGCAATTCCTATATGCACTTTTGTACAGTAGCTTGGGCTTTAGCTTCTACACAAATCATCATTTGGTCCAGGACAATGGTTCAGTTTGCACGAAACTATAACTCGTGCACAATATTTTCTACAAACTACTCTAAAAGTGAGAGGATACTCATGATATTATATCCAACAAGAGTATCCACCGCATGACTGAATATGCCAAATGAGGATTTGATGACACTGGGTAGCATCTAACATGGTTACTACAGCACGTTCATAAATAATCAGTAAAATATATTACCTGTTAAAGTTAGTGCCTGAAAATTTAATTCTGCATGGTATAAAATTGAGGAGCCAACTCAGTTAACCACAAATAATCAATTCTAGTAACGTTGCGGATGTACTTATGATTAGTTTGGACCATTTCATTGAAAATTATGCACTCTGGTTTTGCCCGAAATAAGACAGATGAAGGATGGATCTGCACCGCCTGACCACTTGCCAAAGCCCTGCCAATTGATAGGGTAAATGAGAAAAGACTTGCTATAGGGTATGCAAAAGGAAATTTAAGTTGAAATTCTTACAAAGAGGAACGTAAATGAAGATAATTTTGCGATCACAACTAAAATCTCTAGAACGACCTCATATTAAAAAGGTGTCCTTCAGAATGAGTATAAGCAACAGCAGAAGATGAACGGATTTCTCAAATGAATTTCAAAATCCATACCATGATTAATTCATTACCTGTATGTTCCCTCAGGCTGCTTCAAAGCTGCATTGAGGAAAAAGGAAGCAGCAAGGCACCTACGGAATTGAAGTATTTCATCTCCACAGGAAGAAATACGAAGACCCATTTGTTCAACGTGCCCTCGAATTTGACTGCATCAAAGCACAGCAAACTTAAGAAAGCATATACCTATTAGGTTCAAATTTCATGAAAGAAGAAAAAAGAGGGCTGACCTGTGAATGTCACGGGCATGTCTTAGAGAACGGCTGTTTATAAAATTTTCCTTGCACCATTTTCTCAAAAGTTTTTCATTTTTTTCTTTACTAATTTCCATCTTTCTATTCTCTAAGAACTCCTCTGATCTTCGAAAAACATTAATCAAAGTGAGGTGATCTCCATCTGGACTTGCAAAACATTTCATTGCCGTTCTTGCCTGGCCAAAAACAGATTAAATTACAGTATTTTCATGAAAAGACTAGATGTCTCAAACAGGAATTGTACAGTAATATAGCAACAAAAAATATTTGCAATATTATTCAAGCAAGCAAAACAACCCCACAAGCAGTCCAGTCCAAGTTTTCTACTTCTACGAACTGCATACACTCGTAATCCATAACTGATTGAAGCACTGCACTGCTAGTCATTTCATCGACAAGAATATAGGATGTTACAGATTTACAGCCCTATCTTGTCAATACAATACTACTCATAAAACCTAATAGCTCAGCCAAAGTGTACCAGAAAAACCATGCTACAGAGATTTGTTCAACATTCAACATGCCTGGTCACATAACATATCATCTGAACGATGCACATAAAATTTTGGGAATGCACTTGCTGAGTATTATCATTTTTGTATCCTGGTAAACATAAAATCAATGAGAACAAAATAAGAACAAGTAAACATTAGTGTACCATATACACTTACCTCTTCTAACTTTTCCCGAGGGGCATAGAAGATGGATTCCACTGAGAGCATCGCAACAGTTATCAGCATTTCTTCCAAACAGTTGAACTGACTTGCTACAATGAGAGATTTAGAATAAATGGGGTCTAAGGGGAGCCGAGCCATTTGATGCCCAACTGGATCAGACAGCTTACAGTCATCAGTTAAAGCACCAAGCAAGAACAACTGCTCCAACGATTTGATGATGGATGCCCTGTTGAAATATATGACAACTCAAGTAAAGACATTTCTCTAACTGAAAATAGATAAGTAGGCTGCAAACGAGCTGAGATACTCAGGTTAACCAAGTATGAGACTTCTTTAGTAACCAGGCTGGCCTCTACCAAAGTTAAGATTATTCCTTTATGATAATGACAACTCATGAACCAAACTCATCTATGAGACCAATTTAGCTGTAAAAAAAGGCTTTTGGCTCTATCACAGAGGTGCAAATGTTGTCTCTTGTAGGACAGAATATAATTTATATTTGAGAACAAAATTATAGTGAGCTTCACTCATTTGTTAAATCAAGCCAAGCTCAAACACATTTATTAGAGCTCAAACTCAAACCTGTTATATAAACCAGTCAAAACTTAAACTGCTCAAAGCTCAACTGAGCTTAGTTCATCTGGTGTTGCTTAAACTTTTAACCAAAAAGTGGTTGTGCTTGTCTTAGATTTTTAATGTGATAGAAGAGTAAGGTAACCATTGAAGACATTTGGAGGTACCACAAAGGAGAGAAAAAAAGCCGAAAGTATGTGAAGCGGGATAATGTAAAAAGAAAAAGAAAGAAAAAGTGAGCACAATGCAGAACTAGGGAAAGCTCTCCAAGTTTTTCACCTTGAAGGTTTTTCCAAAAAGTCAAACCCAATGATATCATCAATACCCAATGCCTTGAGCTGCAAAATAACATTTGACAGATTGCAGCGCTTGATTTCTGGCTTTGTTGAATCCTCAAGTTTCTCAAACTCACTCTCTGGGTAGAGACGGAAGCACTTTCCTGGCCCCTCACGACCTGCACGTCCACTGTGAAAAGAAATTAATAATCATCCTAGATTACCATTCATAAACATGCTCCTAAATATCCATGGGTCTACCAGGCTGATTTTGGATCATAAATAAGTAAATAAATAACATATATTCAAGTCATCAACGAATGCACTCACAGAGAAGCAAACAACACAGAAGTGTAACTTACGACAGAGTGAAAACAATTGGTACCAAAAATTCCAAATAATAAACTAGGATATATTTTTTTCAGTAAAAAGGTAATAATACAAGTGAAAACCCACATGCTTTTGACAATTTAGAACCTTCATTACTAGAACAAGCAACTGCCTTACTTAACTGTAGTGGTAAACGACATTAGATTAGAGTAATTAGCAGCAATTAAACTCACATAACTCTTGTTGAAAATCATTCAACTGAATAAGATATGATTATATAATCCATCCATCATGGTTACCTTCTTTGAAGAGCCTGTGCTTTTGAGATGGGTACAACAATCAATGATTCCATCCCTTTGACAGGATCATAGGTACGTGCTTTAACAAATCCAGGATCAATAACATACTTGATTCCAGGTATTGTCACCGATGTTTCAGCAATATTTGTTGCCAGTATCACCTTAAAACCAAATTGTTTTAACAAGATTAATAAATAATACAGCCCAGAACTATGATAAATTCACTTTTCTTTCCTACTATATATAGAAGTTTACAATGAAATAAAGCAATTCAGCAATGAAAGAAAATATTTTCCAAACTCCTTCATGATTTTGCAAACCAAAGAAATCATCTATCAGATCAACAATTATATGCATCAAAATTCCAGGCGTTCACACTCTAAATAAAAGCAAGCAGGTGCCTCATTTAGTTACCTTACGAAACCCAGATGCAGCTGGTGCAAAAACTCGCATTTGCTGTTCTGATGGAAGAGATGAGAATATAGGAACAGTTATCAACTTTCGACTGGCTTCAGGTAACTGTTGAAGTCGCTCCTGCACAAGTCTTTCAACTGATTCAATCTCTTCTTGTCCAGTCAAAAATACAAGTATATCACCAGGGCCCTCCTCCAAATGAATCTGAAAAAATAAAGATCCCAAAATGTAATAACCCATACAAGGAATTTGGCTCAAAATGAGGATAGTGATTCTAACAATCCCACAAACACTTATACGGGAGCATAATTGAAATTTTTTATTGACACACATCAATCCAAAGGAAAAAAAAAGTGCTAAATTAGTTATGAAGTTACAAATATTTAATTTAAATACATTTGATGACATGCATCACCACATTTATAACCCAAAAATTTTTAGCAAATCAGATGAAAATTCAACCAACGAAGTAAAACTCTACCCAGAATCTTAAGTTGCAAACTCACTGAAAGAGAGCTATAAGTAATAACCTGGAATATTGTAATTAAGGCCGCATCCATATAATCAGGCTCAGGATAGAGGGTATAAAGTATATCAACAGGAAACTGTCGTCCTTGGATATGAACAGCTCTCGCACCACCAAAGTACTCTGAGAAAACTTGAGCATCCAAGCTTGCTGACATGATTATTAACTTCAATGAGGGGAACTTTCTTCCTTGGCATTGCTTAAAACTACTGTTGCACTGAACACCATTTTCTTTGTCAAACAGCCTACCATTGCTTGCCTTCTTATTATCGGCATTAGAGTGGTCATCAACAGTTTTGGACCTCGCATTTTGCACCTTTTTTAGCAAGCCCAGCAACACATCGGTATGGACAGTTCTCTCATGAGCTTCATCAACAATGATGACAGAATACCTAGAGAGATATGGATCCAGTAATGCTTCCCTGAGTGCGTAAAAAGAATTGCATTAGTTTAAATCAGCGAGAAAATCCATGGAGAAGTTTTGATGGGTTTAACTTTCCTGTTGGAAGAAGGATGAGGAAGAGGGGGAAGTGGAAACATGCTACAAGTACAAAACATAGTTTAAAATCTATCTCTTACAATTATATTCTGCTCATCAACATGAACACATCATACACATTTTACATTAGATCACATCTATATATTCTCTCAAGCCAAAATAACACACAGAATCTTTACATGATGAATTTAACCTATGTCAACAAAAATCTATTTATGAGCACACAGCCAACACAGAAGATGTTCATAAAAAAATTTATATATTCCAACATATACAATCCACTCTGACATTAATGTTTTCAAAACTTTTACGCCTAACTCTCAATATTAACGAAACACAGAAATGTGCATAGATCCTTTTTCTTTTCTTACCTCAGGAGCAATCCATCTGTCATGTACTTGATCCTTGTTGTACCAGAAGTCCTATCATCAAACCTAATGGAATACCCAACTCTTTGGCCCAACTCAATACCACATTCTTCAGCAACCCTTTTTGCAACAGTGACAGCCGCAACACGTCTAGGTTGTGTTATTCCAATAACTTTACCATCATTACAAAATCCACCATGAAAAAGAAACTGGGGTAATTCTACAACACACACAATTCATCATCCATCAAGCATAGTTAGATATTTTTTATTTAAACGAACATTGAATCCATTGTCATGAATTTCAAACAATATAATAGTAACTTACGAGTTGTTTTCCCACTTCCAGTCTCACCAACAATAATCAAAATATCGTTTTTACGAACCTCCTCGACAAGTCGTTTCTCAACTAAGAAAAGAAACTGACAGTGAATACGAATACTATTAGAAAAGTAAAATAAGCTACTAAATATGTAAGAAGCTATACCTGAAGCTATTGGTAGAGACTTTCTCTGTTGCAAAATCTTTTTCCTCCTGCATTGCATTCAATAAATAAAATAATCAATTAGCTCTTAATAAGACCAAAATTAAGGAAAAAAAAAAAAATTGATTAGAGTGTTAGGGAAATTAAAGATTGAAGTTTTCGTTTATGATTGTATGAATATAGAGGAAAAGAGTTATACCTGGCAAAGGAGTCATTGGGTAAGACTTTGGAGTCAAGTTTATTACTCGTTGAGTTACTCACTCCGCCGTGAGCCATTGAAGGCATCTCCCTCCTCCACTTCACACACGCACCACAAAACTACTGAGAAAAGAAGCTTATACTTTTACCGACGGCCACAACCAAAAAATACTTTTCTTATTAAATTATTTTTAACATATAAATTAGGATTTGGGATATCTACGGGGTCAACCTCTTTTAACCCGGTCAACTAATAACCCGCACCGAATCACAGTTATTTCTTTAGAATAGATGAGCAGATTCTTAAACCACGACTTTGGAAACCGCTTCCCGGTTTCATGTAATTATTGTTCTTCCATTCATCAAAAGAAGAGAAGAAAGTGTTTGCAGAGGACAGAACACAGGCTCACTAGGGAAGACAATGTTAACAAAAAATAATAACAAAGTTCGGGTCGGTTATACACCGGCTAGATTTTAATTTAATAAACTAACCCTTTCATCAATTAGGATTCAGAATAAAAGTTGAATCAATTTACCTTTTTACCCTTCATCCGTTAAATCTTGACAAACGGTACATAGTTACAGGGAGCTTACAGATTGTTGATGCGTGATTTTGACACTAACTAAACACATATATGAAATACTAAGCTGACTTAGAGAACACACACGAATAGGGGTATGAGAATGGATAAAAGATGGAGAACGGTGTTTAAAGTGGTTCGGATGCTTAAAAAGTGACTCATACGTCCACTGATATTGTATTAGTATATTGAGGTCAGGTCGCGTTCAACAAGTTGACTTATAAGTAATTACAAAGAGAACATAAGTGTGCTATTACAGAGAAAAATTAGCTAATCCCACAAACGAGAAAGGAGCCATTTATTTATAATGGGATGAAATCACGTAATGATTACTAAATCCATGAATGGGTCAGATTGTTGTGCAAATCTTTCCGTGCACCCCATTATTCACCTGCTCAAGTAATTCACTCGAGTTTTGCAGGGATTGGACACGTGGATCACCTCCAGCCTTTCACCGTTCTTTCACCATCCTAACGCGCACCTACTACATTGGCAGGACCACGCCTCTTGTGTCAGTGCGTGACGTGGCTGCACCTGAACGGTATCTGGACTTACCTAAACTTTGACCATTTACGTTGATAGGGTTCTACGTTAGCCCTACTTTTCCAGGCATAACATAGATATAGGGTATATATGGGGGTTTTAGTAATTTCATCTTTTAAACGAAACGTGAGTTTATAGACCGTTATCAGAAAAAACGCAGCGTTTTAGCATGACTACTTTATAGTGGAAAACTCGAAATTACTGAACCCTGAGCTGCCTGAAAAATGGACTCAAGCGGCAGCAGCAACATCAACGACAGGACGAGTGGTTGGAAAGCTGAAGAAGCCATCGGTGGAAACAAACAAGCAGTGGAAGCTCTAAGAGAACTCATTACTTTCCCAATTCTCTACTCTTCACAAGCTCAGAAGCTTGGTCTCAAGGTTAATACACACAATTCTGTTTTCTTTTTCTTTTTTTAATATCTATTTTGTCTTTCGTAATAATTTTTGCTTCCTTTCTCTTCAGTGGCCTCGAGGTTTACTCCTGTACGGTCCACCTGGCACCGGAAAGGTATTTTTTTTTTTTGGTTTCAGTATTGTCATTATAATGGTGTTTTTATTATTATTAAGTTATAATGATTCAGTTTCTTGCAATTTTAGACAAGCTTGGTGCGGGCTGTTGTCCGGGAATGTAATGCACATTTAACAGTTATCAGGTTGTTCATTCTTACTCTCTTCTAGTTGTTGCTTTGATTGTAACAATGATGAAGCGGTATGTAAGGATTTAGCCTTTTTGAGATTAAATTTGATTATTTGCAGTCCACATTCTGTTCACAAAGCACATGTGGGAGAAAGTGAGAGAGTTTTGCGGGAGGCATTTTCTGAGGCATCAGCACATGCAATGTTGGGTGAGCCGGCAGTTATCTTTATAGATGAAATCGATGCACTCTGTCCTCGCCGTGATCATAGGTATGAGGAAATATAGGGTATTTCGGAGTGTTTAATATGTTCATGTATCATTGTGATACCATTTTATCTATTAACTTTTAAACCTTGCCTTCCCGTTGAATAAAATATTGTCTTCAAGCATGTGTTTTGCTAGAAAGAAGAGAGAGGGAATCTATTGTGATATAATACATTAAGTTTTGGAGGAATGCATAATCTGAAACATGTCAACTGGTTGAACCATGAACAAAGATAATCATAACATAACACAATACTTGTTGTTTCTTTGTTTTTCTGTTATTTTGATTTTAGGGGTTGGGTGGGGGGGAATGCAATTTTCTATTTCCATGTTTGGTTATTTTGAGTAGACTATATTGACATGGTATAGATGTGATTATACTTCAATGCAGGCGAGAACAAGACGTTCGTGTTGCCTCTCAGCTCTTTACGCTTATGGATTCCAACAAGCCCTTGGCAACATCTGTTTCACATGTTGTTGTAGTTGCATCGACAAACAGGTTTTAATAGCTCTGTCTACTTTTTGAGGCCTCTATCAATTAGATAGAAGTAGTAGAGAGATTTGGCAAGCTCTTATTGCTATAGATTTTCATAGCTTGGTTTCTCTGTAGTTTTTCCTGGTCAACTTGTGGGATATACTAAAGGTTCTAACTTTATAAAGGCAAAAGGCTGCTATATCATAATTTGGGATTCTTTTCTGCTACATCTGTCATAACAGATGTACTATAGTCTGGTTATAACATGTGGTTGTCACACAGATTCAATGACTTGAATTTATTCTCAGCTGTGAGTATAATATATACTTAAAGCTACCTATTCAGTCATATGTATAACAATCTAATTCAGCAAGTATATGGGTTTGATTCTGTTTTTTCATTTCTTTTAGAATTTCATTTGAATTGAATTTTTTTTTTTTTTTTTAATGTTTAATGTGCATGAAGAGTGGATGCCATTGACCCTGCACTTAGAAGGTCAGGGCGTTTTGATGCTGAAATTGAAGTTACTACACCTACTGAAGAGGAACGCCTTGAGATACTCAAGGTCAGAATCTTTTGAAATATTTTACTTCTCACACTTGTCTGGTTTTCGTGATGTCTGCCAGCCACTAAAAGTGCAACCCATTTTGATTATTTCAATAGTTCTAATCTTGTCCAACTGGTTTAAACGCCGTGCTATGGGTGGTACACGGTTGTAAGGCCATAATGTTATTTGTGCTAATTTGTTCAGCTCTACACAAAGAAGATTCCTTTGGATTCCAATGTCAACTTACAAGCCATAGCTGCATCTTGCACTGGATATGTTGGGGCTGATCTAGAGGCTTTATGTCGTGAGGCTACCATGTCAGCGCTTAAAAGGTCTGCAGATGAAAATGAATGTGCCACTGTGCTTAGTGTAATGATGGAGGATTGGAAGCATGCAAGAACTGTGGTCGGCCCAAGCATAACAAGGGGTGTTACTGTTGAAATACCCAAGGTTTCTTGGGAAGATATTGGAGGACTAATCAATTTGAAGGTCTGTAACTTCACACATTCATTTCAGGCTAAAACTTATACTGAACTCAAACTAAGCTCATACTATCTATGGACAGAAAAAGCTTCAACAAGTTGTTGAGTGGCCTATTAAACATTCTGGTGCATTTTCAAGGCTGGGAGTTTCACCTGTACGTGGAGTTCTTCTTCATGGACCTCCAGGATGCTCAAAAACCACCCTTGCTAAAGCTGCTGCTCATGCTGCCCAAGCTTCATTTTTTTCTCTGAGGTTTGATCATCTATGATAGTGTTCCAAAAGGGATGCATTTACTTTCACGAAAGTCTTAATCATTATAAATGTTAATGGGAGTTTTCACTACTTGACCTTCATTGAATGCCTACCCTTATTAGTTTTTGAGGCTGATTGCTTTCAAGTTAACTATCTCTTTCTAATCAAGCAAAAATGTAGCTCATAGAAAGTCTTGGTATTAGGCTAGATTGACTGCCTCCTCTTTCTGCCTTTTCTTTTTATCCTCATAAGAAGTAATTTGATTAAAATGGTGACTAGTTTGGTAATACCTCCAGAACAAACTGAATATAATGCAGGGAAACATCATCTCTAGGAGACTAAACAAGAACAATGAATGATCTAATCTCGTAATTAACGAAAAGCAGGAGAGAACCAAAGATGAAATATCAAGTATTTTCTTAAATAAATATCATGTCTCCTTCAACTTGGAGTTATTTGTTTAAACATGCCCAGCTTTCTATTTTCTGTAGAGCTATTAAATCATCTTATTCATTTCACTTTAGAATGAATGAGATATATATTGTAAATTTTCTCTGCTCTACCTACTTGGCCACGAAATGTTGTTAAGAGGAAGAAAGGGCCTGCCTTAAATTCCAAGTTATCTTTTCTGTGTGTTTAATTATCCTGTACTATGTGAGATTTTTCTTTTTTTAACTTAACCGAGATCCCTTAGTTTGTTCATCGGATTTGAAACTGTGAGTTTTTATCAATATTTGTAGTTGTTTTACCATCCATGCTCTAAAATTCATGAACTGTGAATTAGTGGTGCAGAATTATATTCAATGTATGTTGGAGAGGGTGAAGCTTTATTACGTAATACATTTCAGAGGGCCCGCCTTGCAGCTCCAAGCATAATATTTTTTGATGAGGCCGATGTTGTTGCTGCCAAAAGGTTAGTAGGTTACTTTATTTTATTTAAGAGTCATTATATTTTCAATCAAAGGCTTACTATGACTATCCTTACGATTTTCTTTTTTTTTTTCTTTTTTTTTTCTTTTTTTTTTAATTTCTGAAATGTAGATATACTAATATATTTTTTAAATAGTTTCACATTCTTTAATAGCTAGCATTTTCTTCAGAGCTTTGATATATGAGTTAATTTTGTAAGCTCATGCTCAAAGCACTGAGAGTGATATGTTGTGCATGCAGATATGCTTTTAGATAGTTCACCAATATGATCATGCATATTTTATGTTCAAGGTGTATAATGTTTTCTTTCCATCAATGGCAGAGGTGGAAGTTCAAGCACTAACATTACAGTTGGAGAGAGGCTTCTTTCTACTCTGCTGACAGAAATGGATGGTTTAGAACAGGCTAAGGTAATAATTGGTCTTGTAATTTTTTTTAATTTATCTTGAAATTGGTGATAGGTAGTCTAGGATTTTAATTTATCTTCCTGTAATCCAACTTTGTGCCCCTTTTTACACAATTCTTTCCAGGGAATTCTTGTTTTGGCTGCAACAAATCGTCCTCATGCAATTGATGCTGCTCTTATGCGCCCTGGACGCTTTGATCTGGTACAATGTCTGCTCTTTTGTACAACTGTTTCACCTTTCTGGTCTTGGTTTCTCAAAAGTATATTCTAGTTAGCTCTGGATGGAGAGCAGCAGTTTCTGGGACTACATATTTAGTAAAATTAGTTTGTTTCTTGTTCCACAAACTCTGAGATGAGTTGTGGTTCCAGATTGCCTCTTAATCTGGCATTAAAAATAATTGCTTTTCTGTCCTTTTTTATGAACCCATAGGTGCTTTATGTACCTCCTCCTGATTTAGAAGCTCGATATGAGATACTTCATGTGCATACACGTAATATGAAAGTTGGGGACGATGTTGATCTCAGAAGAATAGCTGAAGATACAGAGCTATTCACGGGGGCTGAACTGGAGGGTCTATGTAGAGAAGCTGGAATTGTAGCTCTGAGAGAAGACATATCTGCCACTGTAGTGTGTAATCGTCATTTCCTGACAGTAAAAGAATCTCTGAAACCAGCATTAACAAGAGAGGAAATTGATTCGTATTCATCATTTATGAAGACCAGATCACCAACATCCTCTTCCTCTAGAGTGTCTGAATCTAGTGTCAAACGTCAAATGAAGGCCAAAAAGAATTCATTAGCTCCAGTGCTTTCAGTAATAACATGTTTTGCAAGCATTGCATTACTTGCAGCTGCAAAATATCTTTTTGTGCAAACAAATCAAACTCAAACTGAACTAGCAACTACCTGAAAAATACTCTGAATGATATAATATTACAGGCTGTCTGCTTAGTTATCTGTTTTGTTATACTCTCATGTTTTCCTGGTATTGCAAAAGGATAAATCTATCATTACAAAGAAGTTTACAAAGTAGCTTACAAAGTGAAGGAAAAAACAAAAGGAAAACGGAAAAAGAGAAAGAGAGAGAGAGAGAAATGATGAAGATGAAGGGTGGAGATTAACTTTGTATGCCTCCTTTGTAGACTTCTTTGTAAGAATAGCAACTCCCATAGAGGGAGGAACAAGGTATACATTACCTTTTATTATCCACATCTTTTACCCTTTTTTTTTTTTCGAGATTGAAGAAAGATTAACTTGACGCCAAAATTTTCTTTATGTTTTAAGATATTGATACCAATAGCAGTAGTCTTGGGGTGTACAAAACCAGATATTGTTTTGCATTTTTCTAATCCAATCTGGAAATTCGGATTAAGATGAAACTTGATTTAAATCCGATCCGGATTTCATCTGATCGGGTTTTTATCCGATCCGAATTTGCAGAAAAATATCAATTTGCCCCCTGAATTTTTTGGATTAAAGTCGTTTAATCTCATTAAACTAAATTGATATTTTACAAATGAATCATAATACACAAGTAAATTTATACCAAAACGTCTCTAAAGTCTAAACTGCAGAATTGTTTTTTATACTAAATGGTAGAATAAATCTGAAGATAGTATTTAAATTTTAAAATTAAATTTGTTTAAAGTTGATTGCAACTAATCTGAAGATAGTATTTATACTAAAGATGGTTCAGGATTTTCAAGCTCCAGCAATGTCTAAAGTTGATAACATGTATAGTATATGTTTCATAAATCCTTTCGTATTCTCTGCTCTCATAAGAATAAGATTCTCTTAATTCTGTATCAAATAAACATTTCAAATTTTTCTGCAATCAATCTTAAGACCATTTAATGCTTGAATGATAAACAAGTACACGCCCATTCAAACTGGAACTAGTGAATTAGAAAGTCTCACATTGGACAAAAATTTCCTTGATTCCATTGTCACATACCATCCACTCAACAGACAAAACAATTGTGAGGATTAAGATGTCACCGGGTTAATAAAGTGTACAGAGCCAACCATGGATAAACATGTCTCACCAGAACATTGAAAAAGGGTATCAAGTCAAATTTTGCTTGCCAATCACTACACTTCCAGCAGATGCCTGGTTTGCTGCACGATTACTTCCAAAATTCTTGCGATTTGATTCTCTTGCAATTCTTGAACCAAACTATACCGGTAAAGAAGAACAGATCAATCATTTCTATATAAAATCATTTATTCACAGGAATTTTTCCTCAGCTAGGTGCTTTCAGTAGTGTATTATAGATGAAGGTTTGATTGGGAAGTTCAGCATGATATTAAATTTTCATGAATATACACATTCGAAATGTGTTTAGAAAGCTGGTAAATTTAGTAGAAAGAAGAGATACCTGAATTGCTCTTTTTGGCAAAACTGCAGCTTCATGTAAACCAAGAATTTTTGCAACCTTCACAAAACATGACAAAAACAACTTAGTGCTTGGTTAATGCAAAGCAAATGATATAGAAACCTTGAAGAAATAGCACTGACTTCTCTCAGAATCTTCTTATCACCAGTCCCACTTGGTTGACCTAGGTTGGCAATCTCCCACAAAGGTATATCAAGCAAAGTCCTTATAACATCTTCATCCAAGAAAGGAAATCTAGCCTGCTTAAAATAAATGATTAAATGGTTATGATACGTTAGAGGTCAAGTAGTAAAATTTGTTTGAGTGGTTAACTGTACCTCCTTGCCGTTATCAGCACAACATCTATCATCTCTCCCTAGATTTCTTTTCCAAATTCTCTGCATATCCAATTTCATTTCCTCATGTAGACCAAGCCAACTGAAGACAGAATGTCAAATCAGAACCACTGCAATAAATAGGAAAAAATAGAATGTATTTCTCTACAATTTTCGTTATGATTTGTTCCGAATTAGGTCAAATGTATCACAACAAAATTATAAGAAAATTATAAATTTTAGTTCTAAACAGGATATAATTTATGTTCTCAAGAAATTACCAGTTAGTAAAGAGCAATACTAAACTGTGAAGGCTTTGTATCCATACCATCAAATCTTGAGTTCTTAATGATGGAATCATGTAACAACCTATCTCATCCTATCTCTATCTCTATGCACAGGCAAAAGAACTTCCTTTTCTCCCTTTCCATTTTGACTGGATAAATCTATATTGACTTGACAACCTTGCTTGCTCCAAGACCCAAATTCTCATTCCACAATTGCCAAGATTATGTGAGGCCTACTTCTGAGGCACTCATGGCACTTAACTGTAAATGGTTGCTGTTTTGCTTCTGTTTCATATTTTATATTAAATAAACTTTCAAATTAATAGCTTCATATATGGTGACAATATTCACCAATTCTAGTAGCGAGGTAGTAAAGATCAATTGAAACTCTTGAATATCTACAAGAAATTGAAGCTTGAGTATTTTTTCAAGCATCATAAGAAAATTATTAGCATTTGAATGATCAAGCAAATATGACTGCATTGATTCTATAAGACCGTTTAGGAGTGATTTGGCACAGAATCCAACCCCTTAAACTGCTAGTGGGGGCTGGGCTGGGGGCTAATAATATGTAATCTTGTTCCTCGGTCTCATCTTCTACGCATGTGTATTAACTTTTTCTATGGCAGAACAGAAGTTCCATAATCCTATATACATATGAACAAAAATATAATAGTTGTAGTGTATTTACAGTGTTTTCTACATTTTTGACTTATTTTTATTACTTTTTACACTTTTAATCAATTAGTCATGCTTTGACACCAGCTTCGTGCTGACCCGCTGGAATCACATGGCCAATTCAGACCTCATGTCAAGCCAGACCAGCACTCTTCTGGTTGGGCTTGTGCTGGGCCAGGTTGGTTCAACCCATTTTATACAGACCACTATGTACATGAACTTGCAACGTGTAAGTCTGAAGACAAAGTTAATTTCTCCATCCACATTATATACATACCTTCCATTTCTATATTTTGTTCTATGCCTTCCATAGCCGGCACATTGCTCATCAGCTCCAGAACCAACTAGGATGATTCTGGACTTAGAGTTGTACTTAACACCCTGTTGATCCTCATCATTATTAATGGTGATTCCTTCATACACCCAACCATCACCACCAGCGGCCAGCCATAAAGCTATTCCAATATTCAGGTCCTGAAACATTAAGTGGCATATAAACTTCTGTCCAATTAGAGGGATGAAATAGCAGATATGTAGTCTATCTTGATTATGTTGATTTTTATATAAATATAGACTATATGAATCACAAAATACCACAGGAGATCTGAAGGAAAGTTGCAACTGAACATAGCCAAAGGTTTCAAAAAGAAAAGTGAGAGAGACAGAGACAGAGACAGAGACGGCAAAACCACCCAGATGGATGTAGCACATGTATGCCATCTAAATTAGCTATTTACATAAAACAAAATAAGAATATATAGCTAGTTAAACGCTTTATGGAAGCTGGCAGAGAACACAAAAACTGTACTTCTCTATAGAATAAAATTGGTACCATGTAGGTATTTGCAGGACTTATGAGTGACATGACATGCTTTGTCTCTGAAATCAAATTTGACAAATCAGCATCAATCTCCACAAGCTTCCACCTGCACTCTCAAGACCATTCGTAATTAATTGTAAGAAATACAATAAGCAAGATAGTTAATTCAAAATTCCCTTTGGACATCCACTCAGCATATAGTTGATTCAAAATGCCCTTTGGGCTTCCACCCATAAAAATAAATTAATAAAAGAGAGATAAACGAACGAACGTAATTCAAATCACCAATGACTTGAATTAAAAGCCGATTGAAACTCATTGCAAGAATAACACTCAGAAAAGCATACCACAGATTTCTCCTTATTTAGGATGAGGAATGATGAAAACATTTTATATTATATGATTACCTTTAAATCATATTTATTAGTTATGTTGTTTAATCAATTTTATTAATTAGAATTTTATTTTCATATTAGGTTAATAAAATTGGAAGCATAAGAAATATAGCGAAGTCAACTTAAACTATACAAAGAAACTCAGAGAGGAATAAATTAACTTATGTCAATGGAGGAATAATTGAGCCTTTCTAGGCACTTATGACACAAAAAGTTTATGCTTCAAAAAAAAAAAGGACGAAAACTTGGTCACTAAAGAATGAATGAAAGACGTGAAACCCACAAGTGAACTAAAGACAAATTTTCCACAAAGCCTTGGTGTACCAAATTTGTGAAAGGAAAACACAAATGGGGTAACTTGTTTTCCTAAAGCTAGAAGAAATCCTTTTTACTCTACCCTATATTAATGCAACTAAAAACATGAGACAGGGAGGTGCATACTTGGGGAGAAATTTGGCTTACAGATCAATTTTTCCTAACAAGTAGAAGAAATCAAGAAATCCTTTTTAATCTACCCTTTTGTTATTCGCTAAAACATGTGCTTTCTCAAACATAGCGGATTGAATTTTGATAACCTACTTACATTCAAATTTCTTGGTATAAGAAATTCATATATAGTTGATATTACAAGGACACAGGCAAAATTAAACCATAAGAGAGAGCCCACACCTTACCTTCTTAAAGGTGCTATTCTTCTAAGTTCCTTTACCCCTGCCTTGGCAGAGATTCTATCAGGAGCAAACTTACCATCAAAGCTCACATTAAGGAGGTCAATATCATCTGCTAAAAGGCACTCAATCAGATAGTCACTCAATTGAAGAATCCACAGAGGTAATCCATACCAGAACATAAAGATGGGGAAAAAAATGCAAACTTATCTTGTGCAGAAACACTTACACTTGGGATCTAGGCACTCATTTAGTAATGCAGCAAGTATCATAGAATCCAATCCCCCAGAGAAAAGCACTGCCACTGGAGAAAGTTCCTCTTGTCTCCTATCACAGGCAACTGCCTAAAATGAAGCTTATTAAATAAGTCAAACAAAATAGTGCCGAAATTTCTGCCCTATGGGCGGTCAAAAAGAATATTTACCACTATAACTGAATTTGTTCCTAACAATATCTTTATATAACACCATCCTGTTCATTAGATTTATCAAAAATGTAATTTTTATGAATGGGAAAGATCAAAATTGGTACACTTGCAAAACAGCTAAAAATTAGAAGCCATTCCAAAAATTTATATCAAACATAATATCATGACAGCTATTAAATAACTTTTTGAAGAATAAGCCTGTCTAAAAATAGGAAAATTATTTTCTCAATAGCTTCATATAATTGATTTCACCCTAATACATCTTTCAAGAATGTAGATTCACAACCCTGCAAAGTTATTTTATGATTTATACACTAATGTAGGTTTGAAAAATAGTATGGATTTGATATCTTGTTATTGTTAGGACTTAAGACTTGTTTTGGAAAGAATATTCTGGTGGAAAGTCCAAGTGGTACAAAGAGTGGATTTCACATTTGAGAAGGGTTAGGATCACTATAATCTAGCGTATGTAAATACTTACTCTTGAGGGCTTAAAGTTAATTTTTAGAGTGTAATACTTTTAAGAGCCCTTAAAAAGGGAATCCATAAAGAAGAGATCTAAGAAAAAAATAAGTTCAAACAAGGAACGCAACCATATTTTTTCATATTTAAAAATTCTTATTGTGATTTTGTAGTTATTAGAAAAAGTCCTACAATAGTATACAAATCATAAACTAACATATTTCAAGGTACTACAGTAGAACTAAAACAACAAACCTGAAATATCGTATGTAGAGAAGAGCGTTGCATCACTGATTTTCTCAAAGCATTCAGCACTTTCTGCACATACACTGAAACTGAAGCTTGATTAGGCCCTAGTCACCAAAACAAAAACCAGAGTTGTAGATCCCCACACAATTTATTTTTATTATTTAAATTCACAAAGTATCTCAACCAAAACAAACAAATTGGAAGTACGACAAATAATTACATTAATTGAAAAGTACTTTTTTTTTTTGGTGCGGCTTTCTGATAAGATTATAACCTGATTCAGATGATACCATATCTGAACAAGTTGGATGCATGTTCTGTTGCCCCTCATGAGACTGGCTAACGGAAAGATGTAATACTCCAGATTTAGGATTAACCAAAATTCTCTCCCATTTAATCAGCTCCTTTAGCAAGGGATTGGTCCATTCATGTTTTTTGACTTCACCAACAAAACCTCCATCCAAGTTTGAGACATCCATGGACAAACTGTATATCCCACATGGAAGTTCTTCCCAGAAGTTGAGCTTGCTAATTCCATTTTGAGCTTCAAAATCTGCAGTGGCGAGGCACTTGTTACAATAAGTAATGGAGAAAGGAATTATACTAATGATGATATTTTAACCCCAAAATTGGTCATTTTAACAGGACACTTCTGTTAAGATTCACTCTCAGGCAATGCAGCCCACTAATGATAATCACACTAATAATTCCCTTTACAACCTAGTGAAAAACAAAATTTGAGTTACACAAACATGATGAGCAATGTTCAACCAAACATTATATACCTGAAATTTGCTCAACAGAAGATGTAGGTGACACAGAAGACAGCAAAAGCTGTGGGTCCTCCACAGTTGGCCAATGAACAAGCAGGCTACGCCGACCAAATGCATCTCGACCAAACCACAATGTTCTGGAACTATCCTTTACATGACAAAAAACACCAACACTTAAGAAACAAGATTCCTCAAACAACCGCTTGTTTTTACGAATTCAAATCACAATAGAAAGAAACTTACCACTCAAATTACCTGCCAGTAGCTTAGTGCCCATGGACCCTTAATAGCTGAAAGAACATCCACAACAGAACATCTCCCACTTCCTTTGCATAAACATGTAGCTTCCCTATTTGAGTTGCAGGAACAGCACTGTTCCAATGTTCGCATGAGAACTTCAGCATCATTTCTATCACTTTCAACATGAATACCTCCAAATATTTCACCTTCAAAATACAAAATAATTACAATCAAAATTAATTAACAAGTATTTGCTTAAGTCATGTAATTTTTAAAAAAAAAAAAAAAAAATTACCATTATAAACAAGGATATTTTTAGACGAATCTTGCAGTGGCTGAAGGATAGGATTGAGTCCTCTAAGCTGCAACGTGGCACCAATAAAAAGCAGCTCTACTCGATAATTCACAGAAGTAGAAATGCAATCCTCAGTAACAGAGACTAATTCTTGTTCCTGGAGAGAAGTTGAAGTGTTTGAGTAAAGAAAAACCTTCTTGCAACCTAAGCTATCGGGACCTCTCCTCCGCAGCGTCGCTTTTAGATCATCCACAGAAAACACCAGCTCCTCCTGCACTAACAAAATCAATTTTTAACCCCTAAAACAACAAGAATATCCATCTTTTTTTTTTTTTTTTTGCCGTTCGGAACGTACTTGTCGAGACTTCGGAGATGTGGCGTCGACAAAGATAGATGATAAATCGATGACAACGCCAGAGATTATTAAGGCGATTCCACACATCTCTCAATCTGACTCGCTTCACTTCAAAACCTGCAACACTGTGAAAGTGTTGGCATTACAGTTCTTCCAGGGTTTAGTGAGACCGAAGATTCCCGAGCCTGCAAACGTATGTTTAAACTGCAGTATTTTATGATATTCTAATTTAATTGAAGAGTATCAGACGGCTTCCATGGTATAGTGGTAGCGTTTTTGGCTTTTTGCTATCAAATCGAAAGGTCGCGAGTTCATTCCAATAATCCCACTTATTGAATTAGATTCAAATGTTTTTTAAAACCGGACCGGGTCAATGTCCGGTTCACGGTCTGACCGGTTAGACCGGTTAAACCGGTTATTTCTTGTAGTCCAAAAAGTTTGGAATTTTGCAAAACGACTCTTGAAACTTTTCAGTCCTTACATGTTTGAAATCTAGCAAATACACCCTTGAGATCTGTTTGGGTTTTGACTTTTCCAGCGGCCAAAATTCAATCTGACACCATCATCTAAACCACCGTCCTCCACTCTACAAAACTTCTCTAACATCGAAACTTGGTAGTGTCTCGTTCGTTGGTCGTGACTCGCGAACACGGCTACGATTTGGTTGATTTTTCTGGTCAAATTTCGCATCAAAAATCCAATCCAACACCATATAACCTCGGCACTTGGTAGCCCCCCATTCTTCAACTGCGACTCACGTATTGAATCAATTTTTCTAACCAAATTATGACTGATTCTGATATCCAAAATTCAATCGGACACCACCCCTTGAACCACCGACCTTCACTCTACAAAAATCCTCTAACCCCAGCACTTGGTAAACCATCGTTCGCCAACGGTAAGATTAGAGATTTTGGTGAACAATAAAATTAGAAATTTGAATCAGAGAGGATGCCAGTCGACAGACCAGTCCAACCAGCCAGCTCGCTCCGATTTTCAGAACATTGATTAGATTATTAACATGTATCATAATAGTATAAATTAAACAATATAAAGTACTTTATTTTTAAGATAAAAAATAATTGGTAGATCATTACATTATACGATGTGATAGGGATGGATTGATGTAACTAGTAGATAATATAATTAACAATAGTATTATACAGATTTATTTATATTTTTAAATAATAAATAGAAGTGTTAAATACTAGTATAAACTATAAACCCCCGTATTCTAACGTATGTTAAAGATGAATCGACGGTCTAAAGACTTTAAATACAGAAGTGGGATTGCACAAAGTGAAGACATGTGTCTCTCCTGAACACAAAACTGACAAAAGGCTCCAGACCAGTCTAGGATGGCAAAATGGACACAGGCTCACAAAACAACGGATTCGGGCTCGGGCCCACGGACCTGGTTTTTTAAATATATATTTTTTAATTTTTCTTTTATTAACTTATATATGTTTTATAACTAATTTTCGTTTTTCAACTTTCTATGGTCTTGATATAATGTTTAACATATTTGTGATAATTTATATTGATTTAATCAACCTATATAATAAAGACATGTAAATAATAACCTTTTATCCCTAAAAAATGTTTTCGGGTGCGTTTGTCACATTATTTCTACCTATATTCCCAATCTTATTCCCCAAATATTGTTTGGCATATTATTTGAGAAATATTAGTATTTTTTTAATTACTTTTAGACTCCTTAAGTTTATTAATTTCATTAAATACCCCCTGAAAAAAAAGTTCGAAAATTAACAAAAACATCTCCTAAACCCGTACTTGCCAGATTCCGACAACCATCGTCGGTGGTAGCCGGAATCTGTCACAACGGCCTACACCACGACCGAAACTGGCTGGTAATTCATCGATCTGGCCATTAGTGATGGCTAAATCTTGGCCATCGTTGACCGACAAAGACGGTCATATCTTTGGCCTTCACTTTTGCGACCGTAGACTGCTAGATCTGGCCAGAAAATACCATATCGACGCCCTACTCAACAGATCCGACCAGCTTGTGTCGTAACACAATTTTTCAGCCAGAATCTGGCGGTGATGGCCGAAATCTGGCACTGCGGGTGGTGGTGGTGTTTTTGTTATTTTATAAAAATTTTATATATTGGGGTGTTTAGTTAAATTAGCAAACCTAAGGGGTTTTTTTTTTATAAATTTTTAAATTTTATCTCGTAATACTCCCCTATTCAACTACCCAATATTATTCTTAAAATCTTATCGAAAATAATAAAACAAACGAACCCTTAGGTTTTCAATGCATTATGGAAAATGTTTTAATCAAATTATTTAGAAGGTAATATATTCGTATAGATTTCTAATTTTTTGGTCACCGGAGTGTTTGGGCTAGCTAATACATATCTCAACTAATCTCTAGAGTCCGTTGAACACTATACAAGCCCAAATGATCAGATAAACCACAATATTATTGTGATTAGTGGCCTTAGGGTTTGAACTAATTCTCAGGTCTATTAAACATCTTATAAACCTAGAGGATTTGATAAACCACAATATTATTTTGATTTTGTTGGAAAATTCGGCTAGAATTAAACTTTGATGCGTTTGATAACTTAAATTTAGTGAACTTCCCTTATGTTAATTGTTGATACATAATTGGTAACATTGAGTGTACGACATTGTTTTAAAAGTTGGACCGGACCAGTTGGACGGGGAATCGGTTACGTGTCCGGTTCGGGTTAATCTTAAAACCGTTTTATAAGTAATAGACCGCATTAAACCATTAAAAAACCGGATCTTTTCAGCGAACCGCCGGTCCAACTGGACCGACTGATAAACCGGTCCAATTAAAAATCTCTAAACCTAATGCCCGTAGCCTTCTTCTCATCGCGTTCACTTCATCTCTCTCAGTTTCTTACGCAAATTTCTCAGCTTCTTCTCTCTTCTTTGCAAAAATTTTTCAACTTCGAGTGGAGTTGTCTATTCTCTGCGAATATTTCTCTCTAAAATCCCACCCAAATCGCATCGAACTCTCTGAAATCGTCCTCACTCGCCGAAAAATCGACGACGACAGCTTCGTCCCTCACTAGAAATCGACGACGACAGCTTCGTCCCTCACTGGAAATTGACGGTGACAACTCCATTCATTGACGTTTAGACTTGGTTATTGGAAATTAATCACATCTAGATCTTACTCTTCCTGAAGGAGGTGAAAAAAGTTGCATCCTAAAGAAGGTAAAGTCTCTAGAATGGGTATTTGGTCATTATTTGTTCAAGACAAACTCATCATTGATACATTATCTGTACTTTTTAATTGTGAATTTCCAATTTGAAATATTGTTAGATAATGATGTTGGTATACAGATAGTGGATGGTTGTGTCATGTATGTATAACTGAAGTTTAGACTTGGTTATTGGAAATTATATATGAACATGTTTTTATGACCAATAACTATTATTCCATCTGTCCCACAATTTTAGTCCGTTAACAAGTTGCAGTATTCTATATTATTAATTTAGATTCTTGTTTGTCATTTTCACCTTAGGTTTTGTCATCAACTTAGCTTTATCTTTATCTGAATTGTATCAAAACATAGTAGTAATAATAATAGATTGTCGCATGCATATCAAGTTTTTGATGGCCAATCAATTGTTTGAACTCTAGCAAGATTGATATTGCATATTGAAATGTCATTTCTGGATTATACTTATTTCAGAGGAAATAATTATATGTTGAGTTACTTATTCTGACATTAAACTTAAGAGTGGTTTCACTACTAATAAATTAAAAAGTTGAGAAAAAATAGAAAAATATTTGCAGAAGATTTGTGTTAATCAATATCAAGTGTGACAATATAGCTGGATAGTGTTTATTGCTTCCCCTTTCTTGTCCATATTACTTTTATCAAGCCTATTTCAGTATAACTATATTGATATGCTTCTATTTTAGATCTTGCAAACTACAAGTATAATACCAATAGTTGGAAATTTCTTGCTGGAAAAAAGTGTTGAAACTTTTGTGTCAGCCATTTTGTTACATAACCTAAATATAAAAGCAGTGATTTTTCATTGTTTCATATATGGACTGTACATTTTGTTAGCATACAGTGGAGTTTATAATATAGTAGCCAACACATTTCCCGTGTATTTGTTATAATTTGTCAACACATCAAATCCTTTAAATCAACAGCAAGTCTTCTTTCGAGTGCAGAACTCTCACTATACGAGAAAATCGAGTGGAGTTGAAGTCTAAATATTTACACTAACAAGTTCTATTTTAAAATCTTTTAAGCTTGATTATTTGTTTTGGCATTTTTATTTACACTGAATGTCGCTTCATTGATACTTATTTACACTAACAAGTACAAATTTTACCTGTAGATACTTAACTGCTTTGATTGGCAACTGGTGTTCTGTGTTTTTTATGATTTATGCATTTTATTCTGTCTATACAGTTTCGTATTCGATATTTGCTTTGTAAATCTATTATGTCGCTTGTTTTGTATTTGATAGGTAGATAGATAGATAAATACTTAAATTATGTTAGGATTGTTGTTGAATTTGAACTTTGAATCATATTGGATTTGACAGTAATTAAGTTGTTATTGTCTTATTAAAAAATAGAAATATAAAAAAAAAAAAATTTTAAAAATATGCTGATGTCATCATAATATGTGATGACATCACCGATCTAATCGACAATCCAACTGATTAAATCGGTTGAACCGTGACCTAGTCTTCAGAGCGGATTGCTTGTCGATCCGGTTTTTAAAATAATGGTGTATGAGTCTCTGACCTTTTTTTGCTTCTCTATCTCTTACATAAAACAAATAATAACTCTGATTAATCCTCTTCAGAAAAGCATTGGTTTGAGCATCCGCTTTTTGCTTAGTTGGCAAGACGTTATAGGTCTGTCGGATCCTTAATCGGCATACCACTGTCACCACTCATAGCTAATGCTAGCCTGGTTCCTTTTCATTCCAATATTTAGTTATTTACCATATATAGTTAAAGATAAATAATAACTTCACCAAACACTCACCATAACACGTGTCAACCATGCTCTTAAACTACCAAATCTTGTGCCAACTACCAACTAATGACAAACAAAAAATTTATCTTTTGAGAAAATAATCAACCAATTATATGATTAAATTACCATATAAATACCAATTCAATGGTTATTAAAACAATTAAATAAGGATGCCACTTACCAATGGATTAAGAAAACTTAAACAAAAATAAAACTTTATTTATGTAAATATGATTTTAAAAATAAATATAAATACACTTTAAATTACATTACTATAAAAATAAATCAACATCATTATATTAATAATTGTAATTTTAAATTCAAGAGACCCGAACCTATTTTTTTAGCAAGAAAGTATAATTAAAATATGACAAGCTTTACTAACTAGAGAGCAAGTGATTATAAAAAATAAAAGAATTTTAATATTTAAGATTTTGATTAGAAAGAATAAAAGAGGTCATGAGTCTTGGGTGCTAATAGAGGTAGTTATTAGAATTCTTATCTGACCTGTAGTTTCAAAATCCTCAAGGATTAATTGAAGTACGCGTAAGCTGGTATGAATACCTCTGATCATTAAAAAAAAAAAAAAAAAACAAAGAAAAGAAAATATCACGAAAATGTAGTAGATGAGTTCCAACAATTTACAAATTGTGAGAACTAATAAACATAAATGAAATCACAAATCTTCTACAACATAAATATCCTTTTATAATAAAATAATATTTAAAATTCAATTACTATATATAAATAAATCAATATCACATTATCACTTACTTCACAAATTGTGAGGAAGCAGAAGATAAAAAAAATCACATATTTATTTTATAAGGAAAGTATCCTCTTAATATATACTTTAGACCTAATATTTTGTTGGAACTCATCTATTATTGAAAAAAATGATAATTTTTATATAATATAACAAATACAATTTTCGTATTTAAGAATGGAAAATAATACAGCCACAGACCATAATGCACCGAATTTATGCACTGAATGACGTGATAAAATATTGATCGTTGATTAATTTTAACTTAATATTAATCAACGGTCAGGATTTTGTCACGTTATTCGGTGTATAAATTCGGTGTACTACTTCGATGACTGTAACATTACTCTTTAAGAATTTCACTCCAATTCCGAATTAAAAGTGTAGCTTATTTATTATAATTTGTTTATAAAAAGTTAAATAAAAAGAAATCCCAACTACGAACAGAGAAGGTCACTTCCATAACCAATTAACCAGAGCGCATTGCCCTTCCAACTCTTACCTACCAAAGTCAGCTATCCAACGCGACCCCGTCGCAAAAAGTTCCGTTAACTCGGGCGATCGAAGCCGTCAATCAAATTAAACACTCGAAAATCAGCAATCACAGCCGTGCAATCATTCGACCCCACTAAATCAGTAACTGTAGCGAAACAAAAAGGACCCCACTTTGAAAAAATAGTAAGGTTTGAACGCAACACTGAAGCAAGAGAGTACGAGAGTTCCCTCCATCATTATAAGTACTCTCAAAATAGAGTAAAAAACTCCTAAAAATCCTCCCTAAATCTCATCCTTCTACATTCGTTCGCTCTCTCGCTCGCTCTTCGAGGTATCATCTTCTTCTCTTCTTGTAATTACACTTTGTACTCTACTGTATGTTTATTCGATTTTTTTATCTCGCTTAGGTTTATTTCGATTAGCTAAAGATTTTTTCTTTAAGAGAAAACATTGATTTGATATTTTTGTTTCTTTCATTGTTTTTAATGAATATAGGCTGCTTTTGTTTAGATCTAGCGTTTTGATTTTTTTTTTTATTTTTTTTTTATTGAGTGGAGATTGGTTGAGATTGTATTTCTGTTGTTTATATTTGTTGTTGTCTTTGTTTTGTTTGGTTTTACGGAAAGTTTTCTCCTTTCCTGAATAATGAATGCGTAGGGTTGCGATTTTTGGTTTTACGATCGGAGGTTTTGTATTAGGCATAATAGATTTTCAAGTATTTGTAAGATTAACGTGTAGTAATCAAGCTGATGATTAGATTTTATCTACTTTAAATCTTTAATGGAGCTTAATAATAGGATGAAGATTTATCCTTATATACATTATTGTTTTCCGTTCTCTGTCGGATAATAAATCAAACTGGGTTATTGATAATTTATATCCACGTTAGGTTTAGTTAAAATAAAAAGTGAAAGATACGCTTAGGCTTGAAGTTATCAGAAAAAAGATTTAATATTTAGTTTTAGGGTTTAGATTGAGCCTTTGGGTTGGCACTTATTTTTCTAAGTTAGAAGTTTTTCCCAAGCTTAATTATGTGTTTCAGATTCCTATTTTGGCTAACAATTTTTCTTTTTTAATGTTTATTAACTTTCTTACTTTTTGACTATCTCTATGAGTTTGATATTGTGGAAATTGTTTGAGTTCAATATTTATGGTATCTCAGTTATGATTTTGTTTTGTAAGACTCAAAAAGAGGGTTACTTCTTTTTGCAATGCATAGCTGATTCTTTATATTCTGTTTTGTACAGATGGCAATGCAGGCAGATTCTTCTGCCTTAAGTCCCGAAGTAGTTGGGAATGCCTTTGTGGAGCAATACTACAGTATTCTTTGTAAATCACCTGATAATGTTCACAGATTTTATCAGGAATCAAGTATGCTAAGCCGGCCGGATCCTTCCAGTGCTATGACCTTGGTGACGACCATCAAAGTAATCTGACTGTAACAATATTTGTATATACTTACTGCTATTTTAACTGGGTTCACACAATATCAACAAGTCAAACTAAGTCAAATTTCAAGTTAGGGCATAATTGAACCAAACAGAAGCACATTCATGTTTGTCCTTATTTATTTATTTTTATTTAATTTATAAGGCGGTTAATTTTATTTTTTCTTTGTTTTGTTTATGTTAATTGACTTTAATTAATTTGTGTTTTTCCTTTCTGGAGCAGGGCATAAATGACAAGATTTTGTCTATGGACTATCAGAATTTTAAGGTCCAGATATTTTCTGCTGATGCTCAAGCTTCGTATAATAAGGGATTGATTGTTTTGGTAACTGGTTGTTTGGTTGCAAAGGATAATTTGAGAAGGAAATTCACTCAATCATTTTTTCTAGCTCCACAAGACAAAGGATACTTTGTATTAAATGATGTTTTCAGATATGTGGATGAAAATCATGAAATGGAAGACAAAGAAGAATCTAAAGGGGTTGAAAATAATAAAGCTGATGAAAGTGCTCCAGCAGCTCCTTTGGCTGCTGATCCTGGTAGGTTTCTCTGTCCTAAGTTGCATTTTAATTTTTCTGTTGCTCGGATTCAATTGTGGCATTGCTTTCTTTATCAATGTGTTTGAAAAAAAAAAAAAAATTATCGTTCTGATTTTGTCACAGAGCCAATTTTTGCTCCCAATAACCATGCTGTGAATCACAATTCACCAACCCCTGCAAATGAGGACACTGAAAACAGCAAAGAAGCCAGTCATCCTTTGGACAATGGAAAAGTTTTGGTGGCTGAGAAAGTGGTTGTTCCAGAGCATCCAATCGTTTCAAGCCAGAATGATGCCCCTCCGGTCACAAAGACCCCTGCTTCTAAAACACAAGACGAAGTCCCCAAGAAATCTTTTGCATCAGTGGTACGCTCATATATATAGGCATCTTACAAATATTATGATCATTTAACATTTTTAAATGTGTTTTTTCTTATTGATGTTTTTCAGGTACATGATTTGAAGAAGAGTAATTCTCCATTTAATGTTGTTCTGAGGGTTCCACCTGTTAAATTTGTGGAACAATCACGGGTCACTGCAGCAGCAGCTATAGAAACTGCTCCTAATAGCAACAGTTCCGTGGATAAAAACAATAATAATGCAGGTTTTTATTTCATTTCCTCTACATCAGTAGATTTTTTCTTGTGTGATTTGGGAATTATACATGTATACAGTTATTTCTCTACTGCTTCTGTCTTAATAATTTTCATTGTACATATAGCAGTTAAGGGTCACTCCATATTTGTTGGAAACTTGCCTGATACTGCAACAGTTGGACAACTTAAGGTGGTTTTTGAGCAATTTGGGCCTATTAAACCAGATGGCATTCAAGTTAGAAGTCAGAAGGTCTATTTCAAACTTATTTTGAGCTCTTCTATATTTTTGACATGATACTCATTCATATGTTGACATACTTCTTTCTACAGCAAACAGGGAACTGTTTCGGTTTTGTAGAATTTGAATCTGCCAGTTCAGTGCAAAGTGTGCTCAAGGTACAGCCTTTTTCTTCCATTGGTTGTATCATACTTCCTGGTAGTTTGATATTTTTCTGTCAATAGTTGGGTTCGCCAATCTCTTTCTCCCTTTAATTAACCTTAAGTTTATGGCGTGCAACCTCACATGGATTCTGTCTTTCCCTTTGTAACTACTTGCTTGAAACTGGCTTATATTCTGTAGTCTGGTTCTGTGATCTCCTAATGACTTTTATTAGTTGTGTGAAAGCTAGAATTTGGGATATTTTAGGGCCATCTACCTTGATTAAAGAGTAAACTGAAGACTATTGTTTCTATTGCTTTCTGAGTTGAGAATGGTTTGTATACTTCTTTAGGTGATAATTTCAGATACTTTAAAATCTTTATAAAAAATTTTCTTTGCAAGAGTTGCATCTTTTCAATGCTTGGTTGGATTTTTGCAGGTGCTTTAACCAAAATTTTGAATATAATGACAAACATAAAATTGAGATGGATAACATCTGTGGATAATAAGAACTCTTTGAGAACTTTAAAGATGTTCATAAAATGCTTGGGTACCATAATTTGCATAATGTAGCACATTATTTTTTTCCCCCCCTTTTTCTTTCTGGTAATCCTCGACCGGATGTGATGTTTGTCTTGAAATGAAAGTTTAGAAATGTAATGCATTTTTCTTTTCCGTCAATTTAATGACGTTGCTGCTGTGACAAAATTTGCTATATTACTAATATGAGAGGTCCTTTTCTGTGTATATTTATGTTATGTCAGTTATCCTTTTCATGAATTTGTGCTCTATGCACTAAGAATTTTTTGAAGAATGTTGCAAATCTTCAACTGCTATAATATTATTAGCATCTCTGATTTTTGAAGTTCCTTGATGGTGCTTCGTCTAATATTGAATTACATTGCTGTCTCAGGCTTCTCCTATTTCAATTGGCAATCGAAGAGCTTCCATTGAAGTAAAGCGAGGTTAGTGGAAGTTCCAATACTCCATCTTGTGCCTTCTTTTTTGGGTAGTTTGTCTGTGTTCTTTGCCTTTTAGCCCATTATTTTTTCTTCAAGGATTAGGTTACATGTAATATTTTATTACTCGTTTATGGAGATGAGATTAACAATCTGAGTCTCTTACAATGATTGCAGGAAATAGCGATGGTGGCAGGTTTCCATCAAGTCAGGGTGGTTATCGAGACAATAATTTTAGGCGGCCTGGGAACTTTAATGAAGGCCGTGGCTACAGGAGAAATGAGTATGAGAAGCGTGGTGAGTTTGCAGGTCGTGCTCGTGGCACTAGCAACCGCGATGGAGAGGTTAACCAGAAAGGTAATCAGATTGGAGGAAAAGTTGCCCGTCAAGGTGGAGTGTAGTAGATTGCTCATCTTTCTGCTTCATTTAGTTATCTTCAATTTTTCTCCTTTTGAGTCGTTAGTGAGCAAATATAGGCAGCAATTTTGATTTTTATTGTTGATTTATCGGCATTATATCTAGGTTAATTCTTGTTCAGCACCATTCAGGTAAGTCATAAAATCTAAGAAAAATAATCTTGATTCATTTTTCCTTATACCCTGACTGTAATATTATACTTGAAACTTACATGATTGGAGCTGAAACCTTTGTTTCTCTCCCTGGCTTATTTTGCATGGAAATAATTTCCGTTACCAGGGACTATTGTCAAGATATATATTAGATTTGTACTTTCAAAAATATTAGAACTTATTTTACATGTATTTATCTCTATATCCAACACTAGAGGGAATTTTGCTGGGAAGTTTTAAACAAATAAACATGGGCCAGATAGTGTGTCCATGAGATATGTTTGTGTATTGATTGGGCTATTGCATTTAAAATAATATGTAGGTATAATTTAATTAGGTGCTTTTGTTTGTTATTGTTTAAGTTGCATGGATGAAATTTATATATTTCCTGGGTTATATTAAATCGAAACCAGTGAGGTGTGGAGGTACACCTAAGCTGCTATTGGTTTGTTGTATTAAAAGCCTTACCAAACATGAGATAATGTCCTTTGCTTTTAACCAACAACACGTGGTATGAACAGGTGTGAAGAATCTTTTACTCTCTATGTATGTCTACATTGTTACGTGTCCAAGAAATCATATCATTCTGCTTTGAAGATTTTGTTTTCTTTTAAAATTAGGCCTCTTTGACTAACCGTTTTATATGCCCCTTGCCTCGCCTTGCTGCTGCCACCTAAAGTAGCGAAATTTCATTAGCCTATTGTGGGATCTATCCTTCACTTTACTCGCACACGTTGCTCTTCCTTTTAACCACTTGTGGTCCTTTCTTGTTACTTATTTATTCTATTTACTAATTACTAGGTTCAAAGCTACAAATGTCACGTAATACATTAATATTATATTAATATTAATCTTCTTTATGGGGGCAATATCATTATCAGTCAGGCATGTTTCATTATTACTGAGTTTGCTCTTCACCAGTGTCAGCTTTTAGATGGTGACTATTCATAAAGTTCAATCATTAGTAAACAACCCTTCTATTAACTACTATTTTTTTAAAAACATTTTTATCACGTGGAATTTTTATTAAATTATATGAGTAAGAATATTAACCTGTAACTTTATTATACATAAAAGAAAAGAAAAAAAAACTAGACTAGTCAAATTAATTAGTGATATATATGAAATAACGATACTACTCACCACAAAAACAATATTTTACCCTCACTTTTGAGTAAAAAAAACATACTTTATAGTATAATCTATTACAGTAGCGAATATTAACCATATAAAATGTATAAATTTCTTGTAAACTATGAAAAAAATATAATTAAAAAATGAAAGAAGTTGTCAATCTGACAGATTGCAACCTATGACGTCACGAAAATGACCTAAAGATAGTGATTGAATATAATGTACTGAGCAAGTGGGGGCCTCCACCCACTTCGCCACGTTTGTCTTCAGTCTATTTTCGACACGTGGCCCATACATCTAACATAACTACATCCCATTCCCTTAGCCCTTGGTCCTTACTTTAATGTTTTTTCAATGAAGGAATTGCAAGTCTGCAACTTGCCTCTCCCTGGACCCCAATGTCGTTGCTCGTGAAAATATGTCTTCTTTCTTTACACCACGTGCATCACGCATGCTCTCCTCCTACTCCTACGCCGATTTCATCCCTCGTTCACTTGCCCGGTCGACGCGTTGAACCCACTGTCAAAAAAAAAATCGCATAGCTAGCTACCTTACTCTCTCCATCATGTGATCAAGGTCAGCTTAACCAACGGCTGACAGCTTCCCAATTTCCCAGAGACTCACCTGTTTCCTGTTTACGTGTCGAAATTTGGTTCATGGATCTCGAATGTTTAGAAAACAATTTAAGATGATATATTATTATTCTACTTTGTGTAATTAAGGGTTAATTAAAGTTGACAACGTAACTTAATATTGATTAATTATAGGTTTAAACATACCAACCACTCGAAAGTTTTTGAGGTAATTATTAATTAACACCTAAGTGAGAGAGATTAGAGTTAGAGATACCAACTCAGACACACCACCAAAACCGACGCCGTTTTCTTTCTTTGTCTAAACGAGATCCAACATGACGCTTCCACGTGTCAGTCTCCCCATATATTCTAAACTGAACGACGCGTGTCTTCTTTTTCCTTTCTTTAAAAAGTATTGACACGTGTCCAACACAACTCCCAACTTGCTAAAAAAACGTCAAAAAAGACATCGACAGTAAAAAGAAAAAAAGTTATTGTCAGTCATCAGCACGTGTCGTTCTGGCACCTGTAATGTCCGCCACGTGGCTTCTCCCAGGTACTTTCTTTGTCCAATATCAAGGGTATTTTCGTCACACAATATTTTATTTTTCACAGACATAACTTTCTTTTAAGACTTTCTCTCCCACTGCTTTTGTTTTCCTTTTGATTTTCTCCTCTACAATTATTCTCAGTCTGCTTCCTCTGTTTTTCTTGCCTTCTTCTTAGTTTCTGCTCTTCTGTCTACTGGTTTTTACCTGGCAATTGTGAAATAAAAGATAGAAAATAAACGTTTTTGTTTATTTTTTTTTTCTGTTTGTGTTTGCTATGGTTTTTCTTGATTCAAACATTTCATTCTGTGACTTTTTTTTTTTGTATTTAATATCACAGATTTATTTGAAAAAAAAAACTTTAGTAATAATCAACTTTTAAGTCATGGCAATCTTTGAAGCGGATCAAACACTAGTTGTTTTACTTTGCTTTGGCAAAGTATTATCTGTCTACTGAGCTGAGTTGCAATAAAAGATATTTCTGATTTCTGTGTTCCGTTTTGTTTCAAAAACAATGGGAGAAGCAAGTGAAAACAGAAAGAAAAGTAGAGAAATGCATAATCTTTTATTACAGTTGGAGAAGTATCCAAGAGATCTGTTGCAGAGATTTAAGTCAACCGGTGACACACAACAATCGCAGGACCGTACACCAACTTCTCATAACGAAGAAAAAGCTGAAGAAATCGAGCTAAATCTCGGCCTATCGCTTGGTGGACGATTTGGGGTTGACAAAAATGCCAAGAAAAAGCTAATACGATCCTCATCTATTGCAGGCTCAATACCGATATTTAGAGAGCTCGATATCGCAACAACACCTACAACGGCGTCAACTACAACGATGACTGCACAGTCTGTAATGTATCCTGCACTTATAAGATCCTCTTCGTTGCCTACCGAGACAGAAGAGGAGTGGAGGAAGAGAAAGGAGTTGCAGACTTTGAGAAGAATGGAAGCAAAGAGGAGGAGAAATGAAAAGCAAAGGAATTCTAGTTCAAATGCTAGTGGAAATGTAAATGTGGATAGGATGGAGCTGAATTTGGAGGAAGAGAAGCAGGCTTTGGCGGCGAATAGGTCGTTGGGGTCGCCTTTTGGGATGCAAAGCTGGGCTGCAGCGGCTAGGCAAGCCCTGCTTGCGGGTGGAGTAAAAGGTGGTGGTGGGTTCTTGCAAGGGTTGGTGCAACCTAGTTCACAGGGGTCTGTGGAGTCTCAAGGTGGTAGTTCATCTGGCATGTCTGAATTGGAGAGTAAACCTATTCAAGGTACTCTGCATTTTCTTTGTCTCTATAGATTTTATCTGTGTTTTAACCTCGGATTCTTTAGTGTAATTCTATTGATTATTTAGTTTGTTTTGACTGGTTCAGCTGTTGTAACTGGAGTTTGGTTTTGTGTCTGTTATATTGAGAAATAGTGATATCTTCATCTTAGAGTTCACAGAATTCCCATCAAATTTTCTAATCCTAAGAAATCCAAGTATTTGTATTAGATTTCTTCTTTGAAAAATGACTGATTAGACATAAGCCTGAATTTTCTAAAGACATTTGACTTTTAAATAGGTAACACTGTGGCATTTATAGTGACTAAGAGATGGGAATTAAATAAAGTATTTACTAAGTTATGCAACTTATAAAAAAGTGACAATTTGTGTTGTTTACGGTTATTGGCACTGGATTTAAAAAAAGTCCTGCTATAATATGTACAGTATATAGTTTGATGGTGCTGCTTCCATTCCTTCAACACCGTGCTCTTCCAGGCATAGGAATCACTTAACTTTATACACTGGATGGTTCTTGATACTTACAGAACTTGATGAGGTTTTTTTAGCTCAAGTGTTTTTAGCCCATTTTAGATTAATGGTTCGTGGAGGATAATTTATGACATACCAGGGAAAATGTATTTTATGATACATTATGAATTTTTTTTTGTCTTGGGTGTTATGTCTTGTTGCCAAAAAGGGAGAACCATTGCTGCAGATTGAATGTCTTAAATAATGGGATCTTAACATTGATTTTTCTTGCTTTAGTCTTCTGCAATTCAAAGCAAGATTCCTACCATCATTATAATGCAAAAGATGCACTGGTTGTTGTATATCAAGAATTTTAATTTTCTTAAGTGCCTTGATATATAGACTGGTCTGTATTACAAAGGTTTAACGGCCTTGCTAAACTACAAAATTATTCATAAAAGTTGATTGAGGAACTTAATTGGGTCCTGCATATGTAGCTCTTGCTTCATTTATGTTCCATAAAGGTCTTTCCACTATACCATTGGAAAATCTTCATTTCAGCTAGATTAGCCTATTTAATAACAGTAATACTACACTCACTAACCCTTCTCACTAACTTTTTCTCACAAATGCGACGTGTCCCGCTTGACCAAATGCGAGCTGACCAATTGCGAACTGTCACATTAGCGTTAGTGAAAGAAGTTTGTGAGAAGTGTTTGTCAACCTATCTTTATTCATTTAATAATCAACCTATGGTGACTCTGACTCAATGTTGCAAGGCATTTTACACTTAAGTTCTGTTATAGTAGTAATTTTGTAAGTTCTTGATCATAGATATCTGGAGCTTATAGATATTAATCCTGTGGTCATCAACAAGGTGTAGAATGCATTTTTGTAAAGGTTTATAGATTTCTAAAGAAAGGGAAAAGAATCTCCCTTTCTCTTTTTTTGATCATCAAGATGCTTGCATGATCTTATTAAAGGTTTCAAATATGAATGAATAAACTCAATGATGGGGTTACAGAGAAAAGTTTCTGGACAAGGTTTTGGAGGAAGCTACTAGTATAAGTATTAAGAGAACATTGGGAAGAAGGTCCACAGGCACAATTCATTGGGACAAAGGGGAAGGGAAAGCTTGGGATTGACAAGCTAGTGTGTATAACAGGTAAGGTGCAAGTCATTTGGAAGCTGTCGCTGCAGTTTGCTCTAGTTGCTTCATCTTAGTTCCATGAACAACCTGTGGGTCATTGCTAGAAGGAATTTATTGTAGGAAGAGATGATAGAATGTTTATTTTATATTATTTTATTTTCGTGTTTGAAATGCTTCCTAGTGGAAAGCAATGTGCAGTGAGCGAGATTCAGTGCAGCCAAGTTAGACGCTGCTTATAAACCTCCCATGCATGGAGCACCTCCAAAATGGGCACAGCATGCATAGATTTAACTGTTGCAGCACTCATGATACATGCAGTTGGAAATCAATGTTCAAATTGGTCTATGAGGAATACAAATAAAATAGATTTGCTATTTCAATGTCACCCTGATTCATTGAAGTAGGTTGAGGTCCTTCAATAAAATGCATATGACCTTAATACTTGATCAAGTCAGTACTTTCTGGATTATCATTTTTTAGTTTTAAAAGGTCCAATTTTAAGTTGCCAAGGAATTATGTTGCATGAAATGTATTATTGGCAGCATTACGTGAATATGAGGTGGTGTTCTTATAATTTTCCATTTACACTGCAGGATCAAGTAGTGGTGGAGAGGCAAGGAGCCCTACTAGCACCCGTTCCTGGCAAGACCGAAGCAGTCAAGAGCTTGTAGGTCCTTCAGGGACAAATACAGACGAAAACGCCGGGAGAAGTTCCATGACGCAGAAGGAGAATCCACCCAAGAAACTTGAATCCGCAAGTAGTGGGATTAAGGCATATGAAGATATGCCTTCTGTCTTCACCAAAGGATCTGGCCCTAATGGAAGAAGAATAGATGGTATTTTATACAAGTATGGAAAGGGCGAGGAAGTGAGAATAATGTGTGTATGCCATGGCAGTTTTCTATCTCCGGCAGAGTTTGTCAAGCATTCAGGCGGTGGCGATGTCGACCACCCACTTAGGCATATTGTAATAAACCCTTCCCCTACTTCCTTTTCATGACTTTTCTGTCAAAGCCACTACGCCTTCAAAAATGGGGATGTGAAATAGGATTAAAAAAACACAGAGAGAATCTTAGAAATTAATCTTTCATTTGATTTTTCAAGTTCTTGAATTTAACTGTTTCTCACGTTTTGAGTGAGTTCTTTGATGCATGCATCCATTTAAAGGCTTTTGCTGGAAAAAAAAATATGGGGAAAATAGTGTAGGAAAGTGAAATTGGGACTCAAAAAATATAAAGGAATGACAAACCAAAAGAAATTACTGCTTTTTTTAAGACGTTATTTGTTCTCACCAATGTTGTTGAATTGAACCCCTTACAAGTTCAAAAATTAGATAAATCACAATGTTATTATAATAGGTAGTCCTAAAGTTTGAATCAAAAAACTCAATAAAAAAAAAAAAAACAAACCTCTTTACCGGTTGGCCAACCCTTGAGATTTCGTTATCTTTTTCAAGTAACATATTAGTTACTTTCTATTTAATATATATTTATTATGAAAATTTTCAAACAGCTTTTTGCTAATATTTGTCTGAAAAGCTTTATTGGGCTAATAAAAGAGGCAAAAAACCATGTAAATATGCTAGATTGCAAATTTCTAGTGCTAAGACCTCTCCTCTAAGCCTAGGCAAAACCTCCTCGTATTTTCAATGTTGTATATGTCAAAGAAAATGGACCACTCTTGTCTTTATATAAAATGTTAAAAACCAATAACAAATCCTTGAAAATTTTGCCGATCATCCATATTCTCAATAAGAGGTTTATCTACAAAATTTTGTGGATTGAAAAGCAAATTTTTTTTCCCTCAATTGATAATTATCTACCAGTGGTAAATGTTATGTACCATCTATGGAAACTGTATCCAGTTGACACTAACCTGCCATAACCTGCCATAAGCAATTACAGATTTTCCTTATTTTCATCATTGATATTAATTTTGTTTCTTTGTGTTGTAGACTAATTAAAGTTAAAAGAAAACCCCTTTTATAGTTTCTGTTGCAATACCAGCAAGCCTAATACAAATAATTTCTGTTGCTAACCTGTAATAGCCAATTTGGTTCTTGATTTGTTAACGATGAAGTATGGATTAGTTTTACAACTACCATTTCATCTCTTTTTGACCTACAGAGGAGAAAACATTTATACAAAATACTCGGACTTCAAGGATGCAGAGGAACTGTAACTGACCTCAGATTAAAATAAGTTGCATCAAATCACACTAGCAACACAGTTGATATGGGAGCATGTCATTCTCAGGAAGCAAATCCTGGTTCTATGCAGGGAAGCCATGAATGAGGTAAGTAATTACTTCCTAGTTGCATGTAATTTCCGTGCTCAGTAGGCCTAATTGATTTAACATTTTATCCACGATCTTATTAATGCGAGAAATTTGTGAAAGTTGACTCTAGCAATGTACTATAAAATGAATGACGAATCCTTGAATGATTTGTACATAAAGTGCTCAGCCTAGACTTTAGATCCATTGAGAGAGTAAATCTCTAACCTAGTAACTGTAACAAATATGTTTAGAAACTCTTTTTCACAAATTAATGTTTTAAGTTTTAACTGATTTCTCTACCACACTATTTAGTCATTCAAATAAATTGCAATATATCAATTATCATAGTTAGATACTACTGAGCATTGAACACAAATCTATTTACTTAAAATAGCCAACCTATAAATGCAAACCTCGTCCTAACCGTTTCTGATGTCATAATTCAGCATGGAAAAGCCCAAAGCAAATAAAGAAATGGTTAAATATCGCCTATCGAAAAAATCATGCATAAAAAGCAAATATCAAAGACTTTCAACTCAAAACCCCAATATTTGCTTTCTGTTATCCGCAGGAGGAAATATGACTGTGAAAATATACATTGGAAACATAAAGCTCAAAACTAAAGCTGGGGGATCCCCTGTCAAGTGACTGGGTGCAGATATACTGACATTATACTATACCTATGTACCTTCTATGCTCAGATGTACAAATGCAGATGTGCCTAGTCAGTCATCAGTCATCACCCTTCTAACAGGAAGGTCGAATTTGCTTCAAGCATTGGACAACATGCTTCATGGTAGGCCTGGTCGAGAGAGTTTCAATGGTACACTTGAGTGCCAAATGAAGCATACTTACCAGGTCATCCTGGGGACCTGTCTCCCATAGCCTTGCAGTGAAGACATCCTTTGCCTGACCTTGTCGTAAAAGCATTGAGGCCCAAGAAATGATGTTGAATCCATTTCCATGTGAAGAAAATGAAGGATCCAAGGCTTTCTTGTCTGATATCAACTCCAGCAGCACCACACCATAGCTGTAAACATCGGCCTTCTCAGACACACGGCAGGTCATTGCATACTCTGGTGCTACATACCCAAATGTTCCAGCTACACCAGTTGTTGCATGAGTTTCAGAAGTTCCCAAAAGTCTAGATAATCCAAAGTCAGACAGATATGCGTTGAAGTTATCATCCAGCAATATATTACTTGGCTTGACATCACGGTGTAGAACCCGTGGAACACATTGGTCATGCAGATATGCAAGCGCAGATGCTATGCCCAGAGCAATCTTGTGAAGAATCCTCCAATCAACAGCTCTAGCAGATCTTTTCTGGATAAATTCTTCCAAATTACCTCCTGGCAAATAATTATATATCAGGAACATGTCATCTTCGCTTGCATGGTACCCTATTAAAGTCACGAGATTCCGGTGCCTCACACTTCCAAGGGTTTTTATCTCGGCATGGAACTGTTGAATACAATGAAACCTTCCAATAGCAAGCTTCTTCACAGCCACTAGGATTCCTGGAGAGATTTCGGCCTTGTAAGTGGCACCAAAGCCTCCACATCCAATGCAGTTACTGGAGTTGAAATTCCCTGTTGCTCGAACAATGTTTTCATAAGTTAATGGAACCCCAATGTCAATGAAGAGTGTGATTTTCTTAGACTCGGAGACCTGAACTCTGGAATCTGGGACCCACTTCCTTGTGTAAAAGAAGAGAGTAACTAGAATTAGAAGAACTAAAACAACTGCTGATGCAGACACTATGGATGCAATCTCAATTGAATTAATATCATTATCATCAGTTTTATGTCCTGTTGGTGGAGATAACTTAATTTCTGAATCCCCATAGTTGTCGGTAGATAATTCCAAAGAGGGTACAGCAAGGGAAAATACATGGCAGGAATTAAGATAAGGGTTTCCACGAACACCGCTGCAATTCATCACTTTACTATTCAAGGGAACTGAACCAGACAGATTATTGAAGGATGCATTAAATGTTAACAGTGACATCACATGAGCCAAACCAGAGGGGATCTGACCTGAGAGTTTATTATTGTTGAGCAGGAGAGCAGTTAGGTTTCTCAAGTTTACAAGACCTTTAGGAATCTCACCTGAGAGAGAATTTGAAGAAAGTTTCAACAGTTCAAGTGATCTTAAACGCCCAATGCTTGATGGAATGCCACCAGTGAGGTTGTTACCAGCCAAGGAAAGATGTTTAAGATATTTCAACCGATGGAGACTGGCTGGAACCTGACCTTGAAGTTTGTTCTCACTCAAGTCGAGAAGCACAAGAGATCTCAAATTCCCTAGACTTTGAGGCACTATCCCTGAAATTTGATTCTGGGAGACATCCAAAAATCTCAGAGATTTGCACATTGCACCAATATTCAAAGGTATCTGACCAAATATGTTGTTGTTGCTGACATTAGCAATCATTCCATGCAATTTATTACACTTCCCAAATAAACTTCCAGGAAATGATCCAGTGAGTTTGTTTCCTCCAGCGAGAAATGCATAATCAGTCTGCTTTCCCAATCTCTCTGGAGCAACTGGAAGCCAACGGATTGAACCAGTGAAGTTGTTATCACCGAAGTTGTGAATCATCACCAAAGAAGCAGCAGACATCAGAAAAGGTTTTGCAAGGCGAGTTCTATATGTAAAATAAGACACATATACATATGATGGGTTGAAGAGTTGCAGAACATACAAGCTCTGTGAGGGCAATTGAGGGCAAACATTGTTATGAAATCTTGGGATAGATCCTGATATCTGATTCCCGCTAACATCAAAGACAGTCATACAGGGAACTGGAAGATTCACATCGAGCTCCCCAGTTAGCTTGTTTGAGCTCAAGTCAACATGATATAGCTTCTTGCATCTATCAAAGACTCCAATTACTTCTCCATTTAAAAGGTTCTGAGCTAAGTTCACCATTTCCAAGCTGTCACAAGCACCCCAACTGCTTGGAAGTTTACCCTCAAGATTCGCCTTTGGCGCCCAGAGTATCTTAAGCTTAGAAAGGCTTGTAATTTTTATTGGAATAGAGCCATGGAAAGAATTATTATCAACACTAGAAACACTCGACAGTCCAACTGGCAACTTTCCACTTGTTTCCCCAGCATTCATTACAGGATCAAAGAGATTCGAAAGGACAAGAACCGACAATTCAGCACAGTCCCCGAGCTCAGCGGGGATCAAGCCATTAAGTCTATTTCTTGAAACATCTAGAACCTCAAGCTTACTTAGCCAGCCCAGCTCGTGAGGAATGACGTCATTTAACATATTCGAAAACAACAAAAGTATCCTCAACTGCCGACAATTCCCCAAACTACCCGGGATTCTACCAACTAGGAAATTCCCAGACAGATCAAGATGCTCTAGATACTGGCAATTACTTCCAAATTCACTTGGAATCGAACCATTTAGCTCATTATATGACAAATAAAGCCCCCTTAACTTCAAAAAACTACCTAAAGATGCAGGAATCGATCCCTTCACTTTATTACCAGCTAAATTCAAAATCTCTAAACCCTCACACTTGTTAAAAGAAACTGGAATCTCCCCATAAATCCTATTAAACCCAAGATTCAAAATCCGCAAATTTCTCAACCCTACAAACTCATTTGGCAATCTTCCATCAAATAAATTCCCTTCAAGATCAAGCACTTCTAATTTCTCCAAACCCCATATCTCCACCGGAATTTCACCACTAAAACCATTAAAAGCTAGTGACAAAACCCTAAGTTCACCAAGTTTCCCGATCAATGGAGATAGCTTACCAACTAACTTACCCTTACCATGCAAACATGTTCCTCTAACCCCAAAACCATAAAATGGAAAATCAGATAACTTGGAACAAGAAGAGATAGCTTGAGAATTACCTTTAAACACATCACCACCAGTGATATTCACAGAGATGACCCTAGATTCAGAGTCACAAGAGACGCCATACCATGAACAATGGTTTGTTGTGTTGGGGTCCCAGGTGGATAGAAGCCCTGAAGGATCAGAAACCAAGCTCTTGAATTCCAACAAAACTTTTTTCTCAGAAAAAACTTCTCCGGAAACCGAAGAGAAGATACACAACACAAGTAAGATCAGAGATTCAACAAACATGCTGCATTTCAAATGAAAACAACAGTCAAAAGGAAAACCCATATTGCGGAACTTGTCAAAAAAAGTCTAATTCCACTCCCTTTGGAGAGGAAAGAAAGAGAGTTATTGCAGGAAAACAAGCAAAGCGTTTTTCTTGTTTCAAAAAATACAGTAACTTTGAAAACAAAAACGCGTTCTTTGTTTGCTGCTACTACTTCTACTACTACTTATTCTTCAGCTCCAAAATGAAAAATGTTTTCAGTTTTTTCCTTTTCTTTCTCAAGTTCGAACATGTCTGCCCTTTTTTCTATGAGGTGGGGTCCAGTGAACTTCACTGCGGTGGGCTTTGGTTGTTTGTGGGGACCAATCCCGTCAATTAATGCATCATGTTGTCAACACACGGCGGCTCCTTTTTAGACCAACACGAATAGTGGGTCCCTATCTTGCTGACTTGGCTTGTTGTATATGCCACGTAGGATTCGGAAAAATTATTTTTTTTCTTCGGATTTAATATTTTTTAAAAAAAATAAATTGACTGGGGATCAATCGGTATTGTGAAAAAGTGCACGCTTGTCCAACTCTTAAAGTGGAAATTATTTTGTAAAAAAAAACAAAAGAAGTAAAATCGATAATTCATTTAATAATTATAAATGCAAAATGTGGGTATCATAAATTTGAGTTAATTAGTCCATCAAAAGCAAGTGAAAAGGACAAAGAGGATCTTATCTTCTTTGGAGAGTTACATAACAACACCTGAAGATGCCTTATTTTAGTTGATTAATAACTATAAATATCATAATGAATTTAATTCTTTTTTATTTTCTTTATTTGGGAAAATATGTATGCAATTATAATTATGGTTCTAATAAATTGGAAGTGTTAACAATTGAGTAAACGACTTTTTCTCACCCAAATGATAATTTAATGACACTTTTCCACCTATAGAAATACAATTTTATTATCCAAATTTATATTTCGTTCTGATTCTGACATTGTTACGACTCCACATCACCGTCATTCTCTTCCCCGATCATCATTCACCATAACCCCTCAAACTCTACTCCTGCTAACCCCGCCAATCACTGACAATTGAACGATAAGGGTTTGCACAATCGTCCCTCCCAAGTCAAATTTCAATCAATCCTAACCACAAAAATCTAACCTTCCACTACCAAAAGACTCATCGACTTCCCCTATTCAAAAGTCACAATAGTATAGACCAAGTTTGCTATTTGTTCGTCGTCGAAATATAAATTTGGATAATAAAATAGTATTTTAAAAGTCCATGGGTGAAAATAGTTAAACCATTATTTGAGTGGGAAAAAGTCAGTGAACTTTTAACCGTGTTCATAAGATCTTCAAAATCTACCATAAATATTTATACTTAATATGACTTTCAAATTTTAAAAATAAATATGCACTTTTCTTGTAAAAAAAAATAAATTCAGACGAATTGTTTTAAAATATATATTAAAATAAAAAAAAAATTATAGATTTTTTTTAATTATAAATCAGGATAACCAATAGGACTGGGCCAGGGTCTGGACCCGCCGAGATGGCTACAGACTACAGTCCGAGTCTTCTTGGTCAAATAATATTGCCCAGGAAGCAATCTAGTGTATACTTTTTCTTTGTTTCAATTTTTTTATTTAATTTTTTTAAATAAATAAATAAATAAAAAGTACACTCATAAACACTGTTTAGTAACTTTCTCTCACAAATATCACGTGTTGATTTATAATTGGTCAGCTTATATGAGTTTCACATGTCCAATAATAGGTCTTGACTGACTAAGCCAATTACAAACTGTTACATAGGATTAGTGAGAGATGTTTGTGAGACTAGTATTATTGAAATAAAAAAATAAATGACGTGGATGGGCGAGAATTTTGTTGGTGGGTGGGAACAAATATTATAATATTATATATATATATATAATTATCTAGGGTTGAATTCGAAAAAATTACAGTTTCATTTCTAAATTTGCATAATTGTTGTAAAGAGAAAATGGGTTTATAATTAATTGTAAACACATTTGTCACATTTAACCAGTCAAAATACACTACAAATATATTTATCATTATCATGTCAAATAATCTTCCTGATAACAAGGATCAATCATATAACTAAAACTTAATTACAGAGAGGGCCCTCAAAAATCAAAACCCAGAATCAAAATTATTCTCAAGAAAATTGCTTAATTTTTGTGATGTGAAGACCATCAAACGGTTTAAAAGGGCTTGAATTGTTTCCATTTATGCTTATATATGTATATTGTCACACAAGTGTGTGTATATATATATATATATATATTTTTTTTTTTTTTTTTTTGTAACCAAGGGTGTTCAGACCAGTTTGTACGTACCTCAACTAATCTCTTGGAACCTTGAAATTGACAGGGTAAATCCTATTAGTGGCCACCCTTATTAGAACCCAGGTGAATCGAATTCAAGACCTTTTAAGTAATACACCAAAGATTCTTAGACTCCTAGTTGACCGGTGAGTCACCCAATAGTAAAACACGCAAATATATTTGCAGATGCAGTCATGGCTACTCTGTATTTACATGATTAATCTGATCATTAACATCTGACCATACTTAACAGCGCAAAATGACTGATTCATCATCAGTAAATTAAAGACTAATTTACATCACCAAAAGGAAGATTCATCTGTACATACTTTGTCCTGCGAAAATTCAAAACCCCAACATCGCATGGAAGATTATTCCCATGAAATAAAATTAAGTTCATCTGTGCACCAAAAACAGCCAACCTATAAACCACTAACTGCTACATTCAAATTGTCTTGCTTTGATTTATTTGAGATAAACGATCAATTCTACGTGTGAGCCCTTGCACTTAGGCTCAACATGTGGTGATTGGTAAGGCTAAAGAGAGGTTCAGATTGGCATTTTCAACAGGCAGAAGGAGAAGGAGGTTTAAGGATTCAGTTGCACATACTCTTTCAACAGCAATGCAAAAAACGAGAACTGAAGCAACATGGATGACAAGAGGAGCAAGTGACACAGCAGCAGGCAGAAGATGTTGAAGCTATTTTATCAGCCAGCTGCTTGTTTGGGTTCTTCTCAACCTCTGGTTTAGCAGAACTGCCTCCTGGTCCCTCTGTTAAACTGCAGTAATCCAAGGCAAATCAAATCAATGAATTTTAAGAGCGGTAGAACTGCCGTAAAAAAAAAAAAGCGTATGTGTATAGAAGTTATATGGACAAACATGAACATCTAAAACTCACAATGCAAAAATATAAAAAATAAATCAGGACTTTATTATTATGTTTTCCATCAATGCTAGACGCATAGTTAATATAGGTTTGAGAGAGAGTGAGAATCATACGTGGTAGGAATGGAAGAGTGACAGCACCATCTTTTTTAGGCTACAGTTCCAACAGTAGCAGAACGCCCAGCTACAGTCAGAACAGTAGCAGCTTGGCCACAATAAGTAGCAGCTTGGCAATGAACAGTAGCAGAACGTGCAGCTACAATCAGAACTGTAGCACGATGGCCATGCACACCTCTTCCCTCTACACGATCTGCAACAAGGAGAAGCTACACCTGCACTTTCGTTGTTGTTGTTCTCCACTCTGCAATTCATCCACCGGACACTAGGTTTGGGAACTTCCATTACATTTATAATATGCATATAATGTGAGTAAGTTGGAAGATCGGTTTTCATGCACAAATATTCGCATCAATGCAGGGCACTGTGGACTTATATACACAAAAAGTCCATGAACATATATTAAATGTCGACAAAGTGTGCATATAAAAGTAACATGACAGGAAGAACAAAATTTTTCTCTTGAATGTTTGCTACTTAATGCAAAGTTCATCTGTCGGTATGTACGCTGAACCACCATGTATATAAGTTGAGCACATGAAAGTAGAAAAAATTATGTAAAAGTATAAAAGTGTTTGCAGAAGTAATGATATTCACTTACATTGGAAAAGCAAATGAGCGAGCACTCTCATTTGAATGGGTGGAGAAATTAAAAGAACTCCGCGCTCCTTTGGCAGGTGGTCCCTTTTCCATACTTTGATCTACTGCGGTATCTATTGTTGAAACCTTGATGCTGTCATCTGACTCTCCAATTTCTTCACTCTTCTCCAATTCTAGACTCTTTCCCTCAGTTTCCTCCACTGGAGCAGGAGATATTGGGCTAAACGTAACAAATTCACCTGACTTGGAAAGTTCTCCAGACTTCAACACTTCTCCTCCCAACATAAAAACATGGTCTTTTGAGAAACTGTTATTGCCTATGTGAAGGCTAAACAGCGACTCATTAGAAGCAGCACTCCAATCCAGGGGTGTTGAGGATTTTCTTTCAAACACAGTTGATGGGATTCTAAGAGGATCATATCCTCCTGAACGGTCCATCACTTGGAGTGGAGGGGATTGTGTTGATGGCAAATCATATACCGATGATTCATGGGTTACCTGAGAAGCTGGAGATGTCGAAGAGGGAACTGGAGACCCATTGTCAAGTTCTTTTGATCTTGAAGAGTTGCCAGTACTGGAAACATGTTTTGGTGCCGATTGAGCATCCAATTCTGGTTTGGAGGAGGAAGTAGTATAGGTTCCGGATTTGCTAGGTCCTTCTGAATCCACTGAGGGGAGATCTAATGATATTGCTGATGTAAACGAAGAAGAGAGCGGTCTTAAGTTTATATTCGTTTCTTTTGAAGTAGTCTCTGGATGCATTACCGTATATTTTTACTGCTATCAAAACTGTCAATAACAGCTGGATGTGTTTCTGAATGCTTACTGCAGCCACTCCCATCAACAGCTATCTTGAAATTATTTCTCTAATTCTGTCTCAATCACTAACCTTTGGGTCTATATATCTGTATACTCATTGGCTCCTGTCCTAGTAATTAATTACTTGAGGATGAGTTTCTGAATGCTGAATGGTTTCACTTCTGTCAAAAAGTATATTCTGATGTTTACTGGTTTGATCAAATTGATGTCCCTTGGATAACTGTCTTGATGCTTACTGCCTCCAGTGTCATCTATGATCTCTACATGTATTCTTAACAGTTTATATATGCTTCTTCTCCCATCTCCTGATCTCTTGACTGAAAACTGAAAAGTATTAATAGGATTCAGATTCAAAATGCCTTAAAAATTCAACAACTAGCATAGCAAAAATTCTTATGTGTTAAGAATAAAGCTTACTTTAAAAAACACGGGAAAGACATTAAATTAGTTGCTGAAAAGATGAAGATTTTTTTTCTGGACTAATTATTTACAATCCAAGCCACAATTTTACATAGAACTCATCATATAATAACTGAAATTAATGGTCGTATATTTGGTGAAGGGGGAAAAATACAGCTATAATTTTCAGAATTCATAACATTAAAAATAAATAGCACAATACAATGTTTAAAGCTGATGCATCTACATTCCAGTTCCTCCAAATGTATAAGTTTTAAGAGGGTATGATTTTATTATTAACAGAAAGGATCTCCAATTTCCCAATACCCATATTTGAATTTGGGTAATTTTTGCAATCTCAAGAGTACTGGCTCCCTACATCTATCTTAACCTCAGATTCCTAATTTCGTGTAGGAAAACTTCCCCATAAATAATTCATAAAGAAAAGAAACATAACCCGCATTCTTCTTCCTTAATTGTTTAAAACCACAGAGACAATGTAATCGTACCAGATAAATTTAGGTTCCTTTAATATGTAATTTTCTATTTTGATCTTTGGTAAGATTCTTCGTATTATTAGTTAACGTAATTAATAAGTTAATGCTAAACCATGTTTGGCACTAATTGATATAAATATAAATTTTTAAAAAAATTCTCATAACATCATGGCCGAAATCAACTCGCCGGAAACGACACCGGCGACCAACACCTCCACCTTGACCCCGCGAATCTATCTATAAATTAATTACCTGTATATTTGAATTTAAAAAATAAAAATAAATAAAGAAACATAAATTAAATTGAATCAGAAAACTTGGTACCTGGAAGGCATAAGATTTGACTAAAAACTACGGAAAACCGAATTTAACGTTCGCAGATGGTAAGGATAACTAGTTCTTCTTCTTGTTGAATTTGAATTTTGAAATTCCGTTCTGTTGAAAGAAGTAGAAGGAGAAGTAGTAGAAGGAGAAGGAGAAGGTCAAGGAAAAGAGGAAGAAAAGAAAATGTAGTAAAAATTGAGAAAATAAAAAAAACAAAATGAGAAAACGAAAATTAGGATTTTTGCTAAGTAAGAAATGGGATGATGGAAGGCGCTGAGAGACTTTCGGCGTTTATAATTCTATTTTTGTAACTAACAATGAACGGAGATTCGCGCCATATCCAACTGCTCGCTCTCACTCCGTCATGATAAGAGAAGATCTGATACAGTCAACTATCATCACTTTCTAAAATTCAGCCTATGACTGTGTGCCACGTCTTTATTGCAGTTTTTTGTTTTTAACGTGCCGTACTTTGACTGGCAAGTTATACCAAAATACCAAATCCTATATTGTTGAATACTTATATTTAATGTATTAGAGAACTCAGTATGAGTGGTTGCAAACTGAAAAACAGTATTTGAAATAGGTTTTTTATCTATGGAAAACTAGCTTTCAACATCATCATCAGAAAAATCTATATTAGTGAGCTGAGAAAGCTGTTGCATCATTTTGACTGACTGTTTGGGCTTGTTTGGACAATTTTTGGAAAATGGTCAGGACGATTGCACAAATAACACCGATTAGATCATTTGCCTTGGCGTTTCTTTTTCTGAAGAAACTAACGGTATTTGAATCATTGGAATTTGCGCCTAATAGGAGCATTAGGTGGAAAATATTTGATGCATCTAGAATGAAACTTCTTTTTGGTAGGACAAGAACATGAGCGATCTGATTTGCATTTGATCTGTAAGTCTGGTCACTGACAAACCTTTGTCAACTGCTTAGAATGCTTCAGATAATCATCAAAAAATTATTTTTGAGAACAGAGCTTTTCCAAGGCAAGAATGACAAACTAATAAATTTCTCTAAGAGAAGTGGAACCAGGTTGTTTGCTTTGAGACTGCATAAGCTTGGTTGCTTCATGACTTAGGGATTCTGGAATAGAAGCTAAAAATGCTTGCTTTATGTTAGGATCATCCATACCTTTAATAGATGATATCATTTTACCATTTATTTATAATGTCTATCAAGATCTTTCTTTTTGAGAGAACAACATCGCATCTTAAAATATTATTCTCTGACCTAGTCCTCATAAAGGTGAGGTCATCCACAAAATTCATCATAGAGGAGATATATAGCTTGATTAATATCTAGCATTTGGATAAACAAATTTTGTCTGTACTCTTGAATACTAATCCACCAATCACGAAAAATTCCACCAAATCTAGCTGTAAACTGTGTAAGTACAGTAGAGACTTGGGCATAGGTTTAAGCATCTCAGCTTGTAACCAGGCCTAAAATTCATACATCCGATTTCTCCATTTATGTGGAGGAAGATCATCAACAGTAAAAGTGTGGAGCTTGGTTGAAACTGTATAAGAGTCACACTCAGCTGTATTATGACGGGATTGGCGATACATAGGCGGAGAGTCTGGAATGAAATCATCACCTTCCAGCATCTCATCATCAACTTCAGAGACAACAGGTGGTCTTGAAGATTCAGGTTGATGGGTCATTAATTGGGGATAAACATCGAGATGTTGATTAAAAGTATCACCTTCAGAATCAAAGCTACTATCAAATGATTTAAATCTGCACCAACAATCTGTAATTGAACTTTAAGAACTTTGAAACAATGAACATCAGAGAGAGACATATTGAAATTAAGAAACAGTGTCATAATGACTGTTCCAGTATTCAAAGTTGTCTGTGTTGTTCCTATGCAAGCATGCTGATTTTGGACAAATCTGATGTCTAACAGAGCGATTCGAATGGAAATTGGGAGTCCTTTTCTGCCATGGTAAGATAGAGCAAGCCTGATAGCACCAAAGTGTACATGAGAGTATCCTTCACGAATCCATTGGACAATGGATTCTTGAGGGATCTCCAAAGTAACATATTGTTCTTGAGTTGTGGCTGGAATTTGCCATTTATCAAAAGTACTAGTTTGGACATACTTTTTGACTGGCTTTCTGGAAGGTCTAACAAGAGTTTTAAAGGTTTTAGATAAAAAAGAAGAAGACTTGGAAAAGGTTGTATAAGGATTTACAATGGGAGGGATAGTATGTTGGATTTTTTTATTTTTTGGGATATAAGATATTTCATACAAGCTATCTACTTTAGAAGAAAATCTAGATAAACTAGTATTTATTGGAGCAATAAACGTAGATAAAGCTGAAGAGGATTCTATAAGCGTGAATTCAACCTCTTAAATGTGTAATACAACTTCAAGTAGCAAGAATAGCTCAAGACCCATAATAAATTAAGAACATTAAATATAAAACATAACCAGGACTTAAAAGAGGCAATATTGGAGGGGAGGTAGTCCCCCTCTCACACAGAAATTGGAACCAATAAGTAACTTAAAGAAGCCAATGACCGAGGGGAGGTAGTCCTCCACTCACACAAAAATTGGAATCAATAAGTGTGCTTGCTCTGATACCAAAATGGTTACTAGACCTCAGAGATGGTGCCAGAAGATTGGTTATGGAGTTTATGCATGTGGGAAACTATGATAGTAGACCTATATGAAACCAATCAACATAACGATCGGTCGTAATCATGGTCAAGGCCTTCCTCTTATCCCATACATCTTCTAACATCATCTAAAAGAGTTAGTGAAAATGAAACACATTAAGAATATAAATGAAGATAATATATGAGATCTTTTGTGATTCTTACCATTATCAAAATATTACGACACCCTTAAGGTTGAGGGAAGGTTTAGAAATATGAAGGAAACATAAAAGAAATGTGTGAGAATAAAATATGAAGAGAGAAATGTGAGAGATTTTTTATAAGAGAACAATGTAATACAAGAGATTTTTTCACAATGCGTCCTCCTCCAACGGGAAGATAAGAGTCTTTATTTATAGAGAAATACAAGACATGACATTCAATACACATTAAAGGGATATTTAAAACATGGCTTGACATATTTGATTTTTTTTTTTTTTAACATTTATTTGCCTGCAATATTTGACTTTTATATCTCATACGGGAGATATTATACTTGAGTTGACAAACTGCCATTGAGTCCATGTCTATTTTACAGATAAACATAAAGGACATAAATTTTTATTTTAAGACACGCAGAGCTTTAATCATCAGACAAGTTTGTAATGTGCCACGAGTCTTCATCTTGGAAATCAAGGCAACCCATTGCTTAAATTCAATCAGCAGGAATTTGTTGAGAAGATGAATCTATATGATTATTCGGAGAAATGTCTGGAGACTGAGATGGCTGCTTTGCAGAGGTACTTGGTGAATGCATGTATTGCTATTGCTTGGATTTATGAAGATAGTAATCACGAGACTACTGAAGCTCTTCTTTATGCACAGTATCTGGCTGAGAGTCTGGGTACCACCATTTTGGATAATCTGAAGTGGCATTTAATTGAGTAGTGATGGAACGTATGCATGTTTGTTTGGCTTGGAGTAATTTCTTAGTGTAAGCTGGAGGAAAGAGTTCCCACGGGGCATTATCGCGCAAAGATGGCCATATCTCATTTGGAATTATCTGATTTTTCTAAAAAAATGATTTTCTGAATTGACCTAATCTCAACAGGATGGTCAAACATATTATTGACGAGATCATATGGATAAGATTGATTAAATGTGACTTGATGTTGTGAAAAATATAGGTCATCGGATCTGATGGAGTGATGTCTATGAAAAAACATGATAGACCATGCCATTTTGGTGGACATAGACCTCTATATCGGGCAAGTTGATGAGCAAACAGAGATTTCTATTTTTTTATGGTTTTGAACCATTTGAGAAAAGTCATCAAAGAGTGTAACTTAGAGGTTGAGGATGACTGATACCGAGAAATCATTTTCAACATTTAATGGACCGGGAATTGAATTGCAATGTGGTACTGGTGTAACATATACCAAAAGAACCGTAATGGTTTTTCTGGAAATATAATATCTGGACCCAGAGGTAAA